TTTACCTTCATTGCTAACACTGCAGTAAAGTCCACATATACCTATGTTACCATGGGGTGGTGATCTATATTTGTTAGTTTTTTTAATTATTTTGCCTATTTAAAAATCTGCCGTAAAAGACGACCTACGGAAATGTAAAAAGTATAGGTATTAATTACTATTGCGGTCTTTGCGAAGGTAAGTTCAGAAATTTCCAGCAGTATGTTCAGAACGAATATTCTGCCCGCTCGTCCTGGTACGTGGAGAAGATCCTGCCGTCGCCTCTATCTATGGGTTTTAGAATCGTACTAAAACCGCTGCTCGGGTTGTAAAAGTAACGTCATTTTATTGACGTAGTAAAGCATGGCTGTATTATGGTTGTAGCACGTATGGGTCGTCTCGACCGGGCGGACTATGGACACGGAAGGACGTTCATGGAAGGACCACGCTCTCACAGAATACCAGTGCAAAATAGACCTAATGCAGCTGTGTTTCCGGAGACGCATTTTATTGGAAACGAGGTATTCCATCTTCGTGCTCAAGGGCGGCAACGCATCTGCATTTTGCTTCTTAATTGAGGTTAGATGTCTATATGGTCCTCAGCATTCACTTACCATCAGGTGGACTGTGTGTTCGTTTTTCACCTTTATTCTAAAAAAACGTGGTTTTCTAAATCCTCCACGTTGTATACGGAAGCAAGTTTTGTCATCAACTCATCATTCTATAATAAATTTACTTTAATGTTTTATGCGTGTGTTGTATGCGCGACATCTTTAGATAATGCGTCCTTGTTTTTATTCCACAGCTGTAGAGGAACCACTACTTAGCTTAGTATTATTGTTTTGAATGTCTCGTTGGTCTAGTGGCCATAAACGTGATTACTGATAATGAGGTTCCGAGTTCGAATTCCGGGTCATGCCAAAACTCAAGTGTGTTGTTAGGTTGTGGTGTATTGGGTTTTTCTGTCAAATCTCAGTAGCAACCCAGAGTCAGGAAGTTGGTGGTGTTTTACGGGGGGTATTGGAAAGCAAATAAAGGCATTGGTCCTGCGCCTGATCTCTCTCCGGTCGTGTCGGATTACCGTCTCATCAAACTATGAGAGTTAGGGAATAGAGAGTGTACCTGTGCTAGGCTTGCGCAAGAAATATCGATATATATCGTCAATATTTTAAATTGCGTTATATTGATATATCAATATTTATTTTAGAGTATCGAATTCGTATCAATTTCGATATTTTAAAAATGTTTACACCATGCATATGATGACGATATATCGATATTTATCACGCGATATAGTTCGATACTGTTTAAAAATATAGATTCGATATATATCGATATATTTTTCCCTTGCCCATCCCTAACCTGTGCTTGCACATACACTATAATCCTGTCCTGCGCAGATGGCTAGTCTCCGTTGAGAACGGCCGCCGTGATCGAAATTCGGTCTGAAGGACCACGTAGTTAAAAGTATCGTGTGCGTTATGCCAAGACACTGTTTCAGCAAAATTCGTTTAGCATGAACAGGTAACTACATAATTACGCTTCAGATTTATCCCACATTAACTGTGCATTTTGCCGGTATTAACAACCTGTAGCAATCTCCGGCACATAAACTATCTATGCAAAAAATAATGTCGATCAACCGTCGACAAACTAACAAACACACTTTTGCATTTTTATAATATTAAGTACTTATGTGTACATTGTACTCTGACTTTTATTATGCATATATGTACAGTCATTCATAAGTCCATTGCTGAACATAAACCTATTCCAGCCACAAGGCAGTCTTCACTCCATCGAGTAGGGGGCCGCGCTACACTTCGTCTAGCGGTACGAGGCTACCATTTGAGAAACTTTCTTCATCATCGGTTGTCGGTTCTTCGAGCTATATTGCTGGCCCATTGCCACTTCAGTTTACTGATCCGTGTAAACTGACATATTCGAAAATACTCGTAAATCCTATATTGTGCTACGTACCGGGGCAATTACAGAGAAAACGTTACACATTGTTTACAGGCTTGATCATATTATGTAGATGATGGGGATTATGAAACTAAATACATATAAAATCATTACTAAATAAAAAAAATCACAGTAAATGTTATGATATATTTAGTACAGTTTTTTCATTATTTTAACATCTCAGTCTTATACAAGAGTATCGAATGGCCACTTCCATTTCACCATTTTTTAATAATTAAGTAGGCAGTAGTTATAACAGAACAATACAAAACATATTAAACCAATAACACGTCACTATGTGAAAAATCTATTAAAAGACACTTTTGGATATTATGATTATTAGAAGTTCTTAGAATTATATATTTCTATATCTATACCATTATTTCACAGGTTTCGTAAATTATAATTATTATAAGTAGTTATTCGTCAAGCACTTATAAAATTTATTATATATTATATTATATAAATTATAATACTAAAGGGATTATAAATCTACAATGTAATTACAGATCTGTCTTATAACACACGGGTACACAAAGGAATGTAAGGTTAAAATATTACGTAACAATATGTAAAATGTGAGTAGGTATATTTTGCAAAGAAGCAGATGTGAAATAAACGCGGTATATAATCCTTAAAAATAGTCTCATTCAATAGTAGTCGGTGATTAGTGAATTGAGGTGGCGAACGAACTTAAGAGTCCACGTGATTGTATGCAATGTAGCTACTACAATCATGGAAACCTTCAACCCACTTCAAGCAAAAAAAAAAAATAGCAATATAAGCGTTTTCCCTTTAGAGGTCCAAGATAGAACAATCTTATCATACTGGCTCTTACCTTTCAGATCGGAACTCAAATCAAAACAAAATAACACTCTCAATCCATTGCGCACCACAGTTTCAATTATTCTTATACAAAGTATTGAATTTCTTTTTTAACCACCCATTATATATTATATAAATGCATATTACAATCACAACCTTAGAGTTTAATTTAAAACTATTACATTTCTATCAATAATTACGATTTTAGTACATAAGAGTGTAACACAACTATTCGGTGAAAACTAACGCCCGTTCCACCTATCCCTCGTTTTATATTCTCACTAATAAGAATATTTTCCCACTCGTTAGAACATACCTTATATTTTAATAGAAATACTCTATTAAAATGTGAAGTAATAGTATAAAGTACATAATATTTGTTTGACTAAGCGAGCACTTTAAAAGTCGTCATTATCATCATCATCATAATTATAGTCCACTGCTAAACTTAAACTTACCCTACGCAATGCCGCTAAACACGGTCCTAACAAGTGTTGCCAGCTGTCCCAATTTGTACGGGACTTCCCGGTTTTCAGGGGTGACACGACCTGATTCACTCTTGGTCCGGACGCCAAATGTCTCTCTATTTCACTAAATTCCTTCGTCTGTACTTTAATTAATAATTTTGACAGCAAAGCGTAAACGAAAACAAATCCTTCAACAAGGTTTGATTTCCAAAAAAAGAAAAACACAGATGAATGTGCAGTTTTTCAGATGTTTGAACGAAAAATTATTCATTCATTAGATCAGTCCCAAATGATAATTATAAAGCACTCATCAAAAAGACTTTATTGTAACCCATGCCGGCTAAAAATGTTACTTTTTTTGTAGAAATAGTAGCAGTCCGGTTTTTAATTTTTTACCTTCCGTCCCGAAATTTCACACACTGGACCTGGCAACACAAATCGCGTACTGGTACGAGGCTGCTACTCGAGAACCTTTCTCCCCTATTGGCTGTCGGTTCTGAGCTATATAAATATTACAAACAAGAGCATACATTTTTTAAAAGGTTCCGGATAGAATACCTTCTTTCAAAACTCATTAAAATTAATTTAAGCATTTAGGTATGTATCTCAAATTCAAAATTTAAAAAACCCTTTCCATAAAACATGTCTAAGAACCACCGCTAGAAAACCTATTTTAAATAAAGCTGCACCCCAATCGGTTCACCCTTTTAAGAACTACGGTGTCACAGACAGGCAAATAGACAAACAGACAGACACGCATAGGGATCAAACTTATAACACCAATTTTTTTGGGGGGTTTTAAAAATAAAGTTGAAGCGAATCAAAATCAGCATCACGTGACTTAATAACGTTATTAAAATAATCAACGCAATCAAGAAAGATATTCTGAGTTATCAGAAGAGTAGAGATAGATGGAAAAGAATGTCGACTTAAAGGAAAGTGGAAAAAGTATCCATCCATCCCATCCCAATGGGGATGGGCCGATAGGAAAAGGTGAAACAGGCTCATTATAATTTATAAGTACATTGCCGAAACACTACACCTAAATTCTAAACTTATTTCTTCCTGTACATTATTATACTACATAAATAAATCATTATTTTACGAAAAGTTTTTTCTTATTCTGATACACAATCCTAATGTTGTTGGTATAAAACATTTCCTTTGATAAAAATTATAACATTATCAAAATTTAATAAACCCACATTGCAAAAACCTTTCACAAATAATTTACACATTTAAACCTACAGCTTATAACAATTCTGCCGACATATGTATGAAGAACTATTCAACTTTTATTTTCTTCAGAATGTTATTTTATTGAAAGTTCTTCTTTGTTCTTACGCTAAAATATTTTATACATATGTATAGTCTATTTTTATATTTTTGAAAGTTCTTCTTTGTTCTTACTCTGAGATATTTTATACATATGTATAGTCTATTTTATCTCTATCAATTTTAATTTTCGATATTGTAATATAATTAAATACACTTTATTTGATTTGTCAGCTATCTTGTATATAACAGCAGAATTAAATAATTGACGTGTAGTTTCGTGGCACACTTAAAAAACATTTCTCATTCATGTCAAACAAAATACACTAAACAATAATAATAAATATCATTTTGTACTGTCGTAAGTCGGCTTACTTTTAATGGTGGCGATCAGTTCATATCACATGTTATTTTTGCCACGCGACAATTGATCATTTGGCGACAGCTTAACAATAAGCTTTCGTTAATTTGTAGTAAGGTCCATCAAAGCTACACGTATTGTCGTGTTGGTCCGTTTTTCCTCGAATGTGATAAAGTTTCATCGCTGCTACCAGTGTTGTTGTTGTGCAGGAACGACATTTCTACACCTGCTTCGCCTCCCTGCAAAAATATAAAATCTTTCAGCTTACTGTAGTAGTTCGAGGGCAGAGAGATTGCGTTAAGGTTTTTTGTACGCTAGTACGCTAGCAATTCGAGTCGTACCCACAAAATTATACCAAAAGGGACGCTATAAACGTTGATGCTTCGTTATATATTGCTTAAAAATATTTTCCTTGATTTTTTTTGTGCAAGAGTCACGCCGTCCGCCTGATGATTAGCTGATGCAACAGCCCATAGAAACCTAAATATTTCGTTAGTTCCTTCATTGTCACCCCTGAGTCCTAAGATTGAATTCCTCGTCAGCAGTTAAACAATATTCGGTTCTCAACACAGCAACTGACCATACGAAGCATAGCAGCATTATTCTGCTGTTTTATGCCATCATAACGTGATAGCGTGGTCTTTCCTGTTCGAGCCCACCCTTTCATGCTGCAAGCCTTAAACCCTCTCAAAGATAAGAGAAGGCTCGTACCCTAAAGTGGGTCTTGTGTGTTTCTTTATTACAGAGGCTTATTCTGTTATTCTACGCTAGTTCTGTTAGAAGGTGTTGTGGATTTACCACTTTATATGTTACAGTGTATTTTTATTATGATAGGATTAAAACCCGCAAAACTGTTAAATTACACATACCTTTCCTCATTCTGTGCAGCATTAAAAATAAAAAATAAAAAGTTAAATCAATTAATTAAAATTGGAACATAATTGAAAAAATGGAATAATACGTAATAAACAGATGTAAAAAAATACCTCAGCGTGCATGGGGTTGGCTGTGATAGTGATGGGCACTTTAGCCGGCATGTAGCCGTTACCGCTTCCCGTATCAGGAGCTGAACCCTTTTCTTCTAAAAGAAAGAAACATAATTCATAAATAATATTTTTGACTTTTTTATTAAAACGTCTCCGGAATAAATGAGTGCTTGAAAACCAGTGCTTTACGGAATCGTCGTAGTCCCGTATTAACAAAAGCTGTCACCTACAGTTGTCTATATTGAATTAACATAGTTCATTTAAGAATATCTATCTATATCTTCTATCCTATATCGTCTCGTTAGTGTCGTAAGAGGCAACAGAGGGAACACAGAGTACCTTTATATAAGAGGGAAACAAACCAGAAGATGGACAGCAGCGTATTCCTAGTAAAAATTTTAAAATTTAAAACCTGTGGTTGACAAACCGCCAGTTAAGTGTGGATAGTTACCACACGCAAATATCCCCATATTACGCAATCTATGATGAGGCCTATGTTTATTTATTTAATCTTTATTGAACCTTACAAAACCGTGTATGATCAAATCACGGACATAATGCTAAAATCACCTCTTGTAGGAAACCATACGGTGACCATAAAAAAAATCATAAAAACAATGATATTATAAAGATATGTGTGAATATATTTTTATTATTATTATATTTTGTTTCAATAAAACAATATAATTGACTTTACGATGTCTATACTTTTGCGGGAAAAATCATATCTCCTACATCTTTCAAATTAGTTTCCTGAACTTTGATGTGCTCGTCGAGATAACGGAAATGTTTTCCGTATATTTTCGTTACGATATAATGTAAACTTTATACTGTGGGTTCCATACTTGAGACATATAATTTGGCCAATATATTTTCACGACATAACATTTTAAGACTAATGATATAATACCAATAATAATAATAATTTATTGCTTTTAAACAAGTAGTAAATTGTTACAATATTGTTGGGTACCCTCTTTTACGTAAATAGATACCTGTAGTAGAGGGCTCCACTCTTCCGTAGTACAATTCTACTTTAAATTAGAGTTATATAAAAAAGGTAAACAATTAAAACTTGCAGTAAGATATAATTATCGATATTTGCGCGATTGTGTGTGTGTGTGTGTGTGTGTGTGTGTGTGTGTGTGTGTGTGTGTGTGTGTATGTGTGTGTTTATGTGCGCGCGCGTGTGTGTGTGTGTGTGTGTGTGTAGGCGCGTGCGTGTGTGTGCGCGTGCGTGCGTGCGTGCGTATGTGCGTGCGTACGTGCGTGTGCGTCCGTGCGACCATGAGTGCGTGCGTCCGTGCGTCCATGCATACGTGCGTGCGTACGTGCGTATGTGCGTCGTGCATACGTGCGTGCGTGCATGCGTGCTTGCGTGCTTGCGTGCATGCGCGCGTGCGTGCGTCCGTGCGTCTATGAGCGCGTGCGTCCGTGCGTCCATGCTTGCGTACGTGCGTGCGTGCGTGCGTGCGTGCGTGCGTACGTGCGTGCGTCATGCGTGCGTGGGTGAGTGCGTGCATCCGTGCGTAGGTGCGTGTGTGCGTAGGTGTGTGCGTGCGTGCTAGCGTGCGTGCGCGCGTACACGCGTGTGCGTGTGCGTCTGCGTGTGTGTGTGTGTGTGTGTGTGTGTGTGTGTGTGTGTGTGTGTGTGGGTTTCTGTGTGTGTGTGGATGAGTGTGAGAAGCTTGTAAGGATGTGAAAATTTATAAGGCAGCATTTTCAAGACGGGTTTCAATTTCTTCATTGGTAAGATTTCTTAACCAGTCTGTTACGGTTTTTTTACAGTCATGGTAATTCATAGGGTAAATATAGATGTTTTGGTTTATTTTATCTATACATATAATAAAAATGTAAATAGCAGACGTCAGTACATTTTATATTTTTGTGATAAAAGTGATTGAGAGATACTAAAAATAAATAATTAAATACATTTCTACCGTTTTTAGAATTTTCTGCTGTCTGTCTGTTTGTTTGTTAACTTATCACATATAAAGTACTAATTTATATCATGAGAATCGTTAAGGAAATTATAAATATATCTTCGGGTTACATTTAGTCTTTATTTCATTAAAATCATTTCATTCCATTAAAAGTTATGATAAACATTCTGAAGTATGGGTACGAGGTATATGTACGAATTTGTTCAATGGTGGCGTTGATTGAGTCTTCAAGTGCATTTTAAATTAATATCATGTTAGAAATCATAATTAAATGATGTAAAATGATGTTCTATAATGATATAATTATATCTAAAACGCAGTAAACAAAAGTATTAAAGAAAAAGAATGTAATAAGTATGTTCGCGCTCAACGCTGTCAAGAATCGACGCCAGATGTCACTCGGCTCGGCGCGATACCGGTTTGACTTTCGGTCGTGCGAAAAACGCCCAAGGGCAGTCAGTCGTCCTTAGGCAGTGCTCACGATTGGCACGCTGCCAATTAAGCGCGGGAACTCGGAATAATTAAGCGCGGACAGTAAAAATACGGTCTAGGAATTTTGTGGCGCGTATCCCTACTGGAGAGCTTCCCCGGGACTTATTGGGTCCGACTCAGAATCTGTATAAGTGCATTCGACAATATTAGCTAGTGCGGCCTCTGTATTCTAGAACTAACTGTTGCAACGCGAAACGGTAGTGACCTTTGATCCAGAAACTCCGTGCGTGTTTTGTGCGGTAACCTTATACCCCGCAATAGTTAGTGGCTTCTGTAAGTTAGTTAATCGTACGATAGAGTTAAGTGACTGTCATCTTGACGAACAAGGAAAGTGAATGTGGACAAGCCTCGGAGGGCCCCCTCAAGTTGGAGCGGTGTCGACGCCCGGGCTGCTGCCGACGGCTAAGGTCTAGGTTCAATCACCATCAGTCACACCCAGATACACACCACATCACCATTCTTTCCCTTGCACTACACAACCACATGCGACCTGACCGACTCCGGAGGGATCAGTCGCCTTGGATATAGGTGAGTAAGCTTCGTCCAAATTCCTTCCGGTCGACTGGCCGTAGTGTAACGCTCCCCCATATATTTTAGTGTAATTAGAGAGATTCCACGTGGCCACATTGAGACCCGACCTACGTTTGCTCGGGAAGTCTTCTGCTCATGGGCCCCAGAGGATTGGGTCCTTTAAGGGAGCAGCCGTAGGCCGTAACAAAGTATATACAAAAATATATTAACCTTATTATCTAAATCTAAAGTACAATAGTTAACCAATTTCATCGATAGATGGTGGTGTATTGTTGTATACAAATGTAATACAAAAAGGTATGTTGTGGTTTTTTACTGTAGATGAGTTTTCATATTTGCTGCTAATCTTTATATTAATCGTTGCCCTACTGCGTAAACTCATTTATTCTTTACCGCCGAGAAATTTAATTGGTAAATAAAATTTTAAAAGAGCTATTAACAATTTCGTTGGTTTCGGCTAGGATCAAACTTTCTTTTTTGCTTACTATGCTCGCACTGATTTATAAGTGTTTTTATGTTTTATATAATGTATCAATTGCGTCAATTAATCTCTTTTATTTTTAGAATTGATGTTAACAGCGCCATCTCTCTTTAAATCTATACATATAAGAAACATGATGATAATATTATGTTGTGTCTGTTTATGTACATTGTATAGTAGGTATGTTTGTGACTAAAATCATTATGGGGACTGAAAATCATTAAATAAGTACATTTTTATAATTTTTAGAATTGTCTGTCTGTCGGTCTGTCTGTTTGTTTATGAACGCATCACGTTTTGAGTAAACATCTTTTTTTCTTTCAAAGAAGTCGTTAAGAAAATCATAAAGCGTATATTAGAGTTCATTTTTAATCTGTGTTTTATTAAAATTGGTTAATTCTATCGAAAGTTATGATTATTATTTTGAAATCTAGGTTCGAATCTGTTTAAAGGCGCCATAACACTCAGAAATAGTAATAAAAAGATTCGCGTGTAAAAAAAGTTCTATTATAATATACATATTTATACTTAAAACACAGTAAACAAAAATATGTTTTCCTTAAATTAAAAAAAGGATGTTTTCTCACAAAGAACGTAATAGATCGCGTTGTATAAATTACAACTTTTTCTGAATTGCGGTGGCGCCCCTTTTTCCTAAAGGGGGTCGCTTCCGATTCGGCAGGAAGGCCATAATGGCCAACGCTAGTGCCACAGGTGGTGTTTAGTGGGTAGGCACTTCTTCAAAGTGAGTCCCACATAAACACGCAGCCGGCTGCCATGGTATGCTATGAGCATTCACCACCTCCCTCCCCCGCTTCCGGAAGGTAAAAAAAAAGGCGCAAAAGAAAAAAAAATAATTGCGGTGTTAAGATTTTTCGCTTTTTTTTAATCGTATTAAGACTCATTGAAGAAATTTGTACCCATGAGTACGATGAAGTTGAAATAACCGCGTAGGCTAACAGCACAAACATCACCAGAAACCAGAAAAGAAACACGCCCACCCAATCTATGCAACGAAACTCTATTAAAAACTAACAAAATTGCAACAAAATGTCGTGATATTTTTTTTATACCCAGAATCCCCTTAATCCCAAATAACTTTCCTTTCAATTTTAAGCGTGTTCAGTTCCCAGTGAGCGTGTGTTATGCAATAACCGTAAATAAAGCGCAAGGTCAAACTCAGGAGTGGACCTCAGTACTAACTGTTTTAGGTATGGCCAACTCTATGTTGCTTTTTCCCGCGTTAGTAGGCCCCATAACCTATTTGTGTACCTACACCCCGGCTGTCTACTTCTAACGTCGTTTACACAGAAGCTCAATCATAAGCGACTTAGAACTTTGAGAATAACGATTTATTTTAATGATATAAATCGTCTAATACTCTCTTAACTAAACGTCAAATTCTTTAAGTAAAACCTATATACGCGAGCTACACCGCGGGCACAGCTAGTTATATAACTAAATTGAACGTCTAGTATACTGTCTTGATGCAAAATTAGTCGTGCTAAATGAATCTTCGTAGGGTATTGTATATTTTCTACGTCTGGTGATTGATGACGGTTGGTAATTTAGAGAACTATGAAGTTTTAAAACTGTTGCTAATATGTAAAGTTTTCTTATCGAAAGTAAATTACCGAATTCATAAAGTTCAGTTGTAGAGAATCTATAGGGATTTAAGTCCATAACTTTAATTAAACACCTTTGAGCTCTTTCAACCTCGATAGGATAGAAATACAGAGTAGCCTAACGTTGACTGAACCAGAGCTATGTATATTTTATTAAGTAAGGACTTTGGGAAGACATGTCATAGTGACTTAAATATACAAATAAGTTTACTGAGCCGAGTTGCTATTAATTCTATGTGTGAATATCAAGACGGTCTTTGGTCAACCATGACTCCTAGATACTTTATACTTGAGACTTTATTTATTTGAGAGTAGCTACAACTAGAGATTTGGACAACAGAGCATTCGTGAATTTTAATATGAAAACTAGGTGTAGGTTGAGTGCTGTGTTACATGGTCAAGCAAATATAGTGAGTAGACTCTGATTGAGCCAATTCGCCGCCCTAGCAAGGCCTAATTCTGTTGTTTTCCTTACAAAGTCCAATGTATCTCCTGTAAATATAATAGCGGTGTCATCTGCATAGGAAAAAATTTGCCCATTATAAAGTTTCATATTACACAGTCCATAATTGTGTTCGATCTTTCACAATACACATCGGCAGTAATGCTCATCCGGTTTGGTAAAAAGCTGTGATAAAACACACCGGCACTAAACCACCAAACAGTAAAAATCGCATTTCTAGGGGTAAGTTTTCATTTAGGGTATTGTGTAGGCGCTAAACCAGGATCCAACCAACTTGATGAGTGCTTGAGATTGTCAAACAGAATCCATTTTTCGTCGCAGGTAATAATGTGGTTCAAAATTGCTTAATTTGTGTGCTTCTTGAGCAGTGCAAGGCACGTCTCGATGCGTACTTCGCGCTAGCGATCATTGAGTTTGTGGGGCACTCATTTTCAAACTTTTTAAGTGTAATAATATTTAAAAATGTGTGCTAGGACTAATTTAATGCAAATGGACCAATATTGTCGTAGAGTGAGTATCATCAGCTTCGAAAATCGCCTTTAATTGGTCATTGTCGACCAAAGTTTTCGGAAGACGTCGGGGTTCATTTTTCAGGTCGAAATTTTGGGGCTTCTGCGGTTCCTACGGTGCCATTATTTGAAGGATTCGCAAAGACCTCGATCAGATACGACAATTTTTTTTCTTTTATATCTTGCTATATTCTCATTCATTCATCATTTAATACCTACTGCCGATAATCAGTTTCAACAAGCAACATCTGTTCACAAGTATGACTATTTTAAGATCGTTAAGCGAGCATGACATACCTGTGTCTACTACACACTAAGATATCACTTTTATATGTATATGCGCTTTTACGCCATACGCCCCACTAATATCGAGAGCGGGAGACACTGAGCCTTGGCCTAGGCGCATACATACAATTTTTTATCATATATACATAACCTCAGACCAATAAAGATGGTATATAAAGATGGTGGTAACAATAAACATGGCGATGATAGCCATAAAATATTTTAAATAATATGAAACATAATTATTGAATTAAATTCTTTATAGGCTCTATGTTTTTATTTAGATCCATAATATCCTGATAATAAGCAAAACGTTTCAAATGAAGTAATTTTTTGTCCACCGAACGTCGTACGCTCACTTCGTGCTGAAAAAATATGCATTCAGCGGAGAAAGTAGCGTTAAAATGTAGTGGTTAAAAGCCTTTTAACGTAGGAAATCCTCGCCTTAAATTGTAATAGGCAAAGATTTCCATGTATGCTACTAGAACGGCAATTTAGAACAAAAACTGCTTCACAGCTGTGAAACGACGATGCCGAACCAGCTGTCATATGCAACGTAGTATTTTCACTTAGAACAGCTACTGCTTTTAGGAAAACCGAAATAAAGTTACATACTTATCTGAAATCTCAAATTGCGCACATAGATAGCGTTTTCTTAGTTACATTAAACAAAATCAGTGAAAGATTGTCGAAAACAACGTTTGTGGTTTACATAATAAAGAACTAGTATTCTCACCCGCTCGCAATCTACTAAAGGAGTTACGGAGAATTTACCGTAACAGTTCACAATTTATTAAGGCCGCGGAACCTGTCTAGTAGTATACATTTACTTTAAACGAAATCTTCGCCTTAAATATTAACAGGGCTTACTGTTGGGTCGCTTGGCGCGGCGGCAGAGCAGCAGTGTGACAAGCAGGATGAGCAGGATGGCGGCGACGCCGAGCGCACCGCCTGCCGTGACAAGCGCGGCGGGCGGCTCAGCGCCCCCTCCTCCACCCGCCCCTGCGCGCGCCCGCTCCGTCGACGTATCGGCCGCGCTGCTCGATTTGTGCGTCTTTGCGTCCTGTACACGAACGAATATTTCATTAACCATATTTAAACAAAGGCTGCCAACGTGTAAAAAAACCCTGTAGTTTCCTTTAAGTGCGTTATCAGAGTCAGTATTCAAACATAATTTTTTTTTTTAAAACTTGAACATTAAAAAATTTAATTTTGATATAAAAAAATAGTTATTATTATATTATTATAGCAAATTGTATGTGGTTTTATTACCTCTAACTGACACGAACATCGGTTAAGGGGGGTCTTTCACAATCCTTTTACTCTCCGGATAATGCAGAGGAAATAAAACCACACTGGAAGAAGAGATAGACAAGTTGCGCTGGAATATTTATTTTATTTTATTTATTTTTAAAAAAAACGTTACCCCCACACTAGGATTTTCTCCTGCGTCGTGGAGGCAGTTTACAAACATAAATTGCACAAGGACAAACATCCAGACCCGGAACAATTATTTATAGGCCATACAAATATTTGTTCCGTGCGAGATTCGAACCCGCGGCCCCCAGCGCAACAACTGATTGCTAAGCCACTGCGCCACGGAGCCGTCAAATATCATAGGATTATCCGAGGTCCGAAGAGAGGGGGAGGACACGGTAATCTTCGAATCCGGCAACTTGTTCTATCACCGGGAGGGCGACCATCTGTCCCAAGGAGGTGTCGGATTTATCGTCAAGTCTTTCGTTAACAACGTTGTAAAGATTGGGAGTGTGTCGACGAGGGCTGCGTACCTTATACTCATAATCACCAAACGGTATTCGCTGAAGGTCATACAGGTTTACGCACCAACCTCGGCACACCCCGATGAGGAGGTGGAGGAAATATATGAGGATATCTCTAGAGCCATGCATTCCTCCAAAACCCACTATACGGTGTTAATGGGAAATTTCAACGCAAAACTAGGCACAAGAGAGAACGGTGAGCTGAAAATAGGGAAATTCGGAACCGAAGGGGCCAGCAGCTGGCCAACTTCATGGAGAAAGGGGGACTCTTATGATGAACTCTTTCTTCTAGAAGCGGCCTCACAGGAAGTGGACCTGGTCGAGCCCCGACGGTTTGACAAAAAATGAAATTGACTTCATTATGACGACCAGACGACAACTATTCAGTGATGTCTCAGTGATCGCGAGGGTAAAAACCGGCAGCGATTACCGAATGGTGAGAGGCACACTGAACCTAAACGTTAAGTTGGAGAGGTCAAGTCTAATGAATTCAACGCTCCGTCCCCCTCGTGCTCTCATCCAAAGTCCTGAAACCTTTCAGCTCGAGCTACAAAATCGTTTTCAGTGCCTAGAAGATTGCAATACAGTGGACGATATTAATGACAAGCTCGTGGAAACTGTCCATGCGGTCGGAGCTAAGTTTTGCAAGATCCGCCGCAGAAGAACAAAAAACTCTCCGATCACACTCTTAATCTCATGGCTGTTAGACGGGATATGAAGCTGCAGTCTGTCTGCCAGAAAGAGCCAACTGTCGAAGCTGAAAACTGTGACAGCGTTGTTTCGGGACATCTGAGATTTTGAATGAGATTGAGAGGTTCTATGGGCAGCTGTACACATCATTGTTGGAGACACACGCAAGTGTGAGTAACGATCCAAGAGCGAGTCTTATCCGACATTATTTCGATGATATCCCGGACGTCAGTCTGAGCGAGATTAGAATGGCTCTCCAGCACCTTAAAAACGGCAAAGCCCCAGGCGAGAATGGAATTACACCGGAGCTTCTGAAAGCGGGTGGAAAACCGGTACTGGAAGTCCTTCAGAGCCTCTTTAATTCCGTCCTCCATGTTGGCATTATACCGGAGGCGTGGAGCAGAAGTGCGGTGCTCTTGTTCTTCAAGAAAGGTGACAACGCTCTCTTGAAGAACTACAGACTAATTTCCCTTCTGAGCCGTGTCTACGTGCTGTTTTCGAGAGTCATTACGAATCGTCTCGCACGCAGACATGACGACTTCCAGCCTCCCCAACAAGCCGGTTTCCGAAAAGGCTTTAGCACCATAGACCACATGCATACCCTTCGGCAAATTGTACAGAAGTCCGAGGAGTATAATTAGCCACTATGTCTGGCATATGTGGACTATGAGAAAGTCTTTGGTTCCGTCGAAATTTGGGCGGTGGTACAGTCTCTTCATCGGTACCAAGTTGACTGTCAGTATATCAAAGTGCTGAAGTGCTTGTACAGTAGGGCTACAATGGCTATCCGAGTACAGAACCAGAGTACGAAACCTATCAGGTGTAAGACAGGATGACGTTATATCCCCGAAACTCTTTACCGCTGCATTGGAAGACGTTTTCAAGCTTCTAGACTGGAAAGGATACGGTATGAACATCAATGGCGAGTACATTACTTACCTTCGATTTTCCGACGATATAGTCCTTATAGTAGAATCGCTGGAGGACCTAAGCACTATGCTCAATAACTTCAATAGTGTTTCCCAACGGATAGATCTTAAGATGAATATGGACAAAACAAAGATCATGTTTAATGTCCATGTCACACCTATGCCGGTAGTTGTTGGGAGCACTAAGCTCGAAGTTGTTGACGAGTATGTTTACCTGGGACAAATAGTTCTACTAGGTAAGTCCAACTTCGACCGAGAGGTCAATCGAAGGATTCAACTCGGTTGGGCAGCGTTCGGGAAATTACGGCACATATTCTCGTCAGGTATACCTCAAAACTTGAAAACGAGACTGTACAACCAGTGCGTGTTGCCAGTGATGACCTATGGAACTGAGACGTGGTCCTTCACTGCTGTCCGGATGAGGAAGCTCAAGGTCTATAATAAGCTATGGAGAGGACTATGCTCGGAGTTTCTCTGCGTGATAAACTTAGAAATGAGGATATCCGCAGTAGAACCAGAGTGACCGACATAGCCCAACGAATTAGTAAGCTGAAGTGGCAATGGACTGGCCATATAGCTCGAAGAACCGACAACCGATGGGGAAAAAAGGTTCTTGAGTGACGGCCTCGTACCGGCGGACGAAGTGTAGGACGTCCCCCCACTAGATGGAGTGACGACCTGGTAAGATATGCAGGAAGTCGATGGATGCAGGTGACTCAGTACCGTGCTATGTAGCATTCCTTGGGGGAGGCCTATGTTCAGCAGTGGACTTGTGAAGGGTTGTAATGATGACTGACTCTGATAACGCACTTAACGAGAACCACAGGGTTTTTCTTACATGTTGTATATACTACTAGACTGACAATCCCAAACAAAAACTGTATCACAGCTGCGGATCGCGCCCACCCCTGTTGCTGGCACGATAAATATACCTTCCACGCAGTTGAATTTTTTACACATATCCTAATCAGGGGTTTACTCGACTCCACTAGACGACACCGCATTAAATCGTGTATACTCGGCTCCAGTCTTCATCAGCCACGTTTACTGTCTGATAATGAGTGCGTCATTCCAATAATTACATTTTTATTAATAGGTTTTATTATACGTAACTTTACACTTATATCATGTGGTCATAAGTACACGCCCATTTTTTTTTTATATACGACAGTTACTGTTTTTAGGAAAATACGAAATAAAGTTACATACATATCTGAAATGAAACTTTAAATCACGTTAACAAAGTGCGCACATAAATAATAACAGCGTTTTCTTAAATAAGATTAAACAAAATGTGTTAGTGTTAAATTGTCGAAGACAACGTTCGCGGCTTACAAAACAAGAAACTAGTCTTCTCGCCCGTTCGCAGTCGACTAAAAGAGTTACGGAGAATTAGCCGTAACTTAGTTCGCAGTGTATTTAGACCAAAGAATCCGTCTAGTAGTACACATAGAAATCTTTAATTATACATGACGAAATGTAATATGAAACTTATTCTGTATGCACAACCCCATGTGCTGTGTTTAGCTAGCATCGAAAGGAGTTTCTGGTGCTATCCTAATAACGTATAGTTTATCTATCTATCGTGCTATTTTGCTATCGTTGCTACACTTGCCAGGCGCGTTGGCAACCGCAGTAATTTGTTGTTTTCAGTAGTAATCGAGAAAATCCTGCTGGCCATCTCCTGTGTCTGTTTCCCTCTGACGACTATAAGGAAACCCACGGGATGATACGGGGTAGTGGATATTCTTACGCCGCTCCGCGACTACACAGCAATAATAACAATAAAACAAGACAATAAAGTAAAATATTCAAACAATCTAACTAACGTAAAAATAATTGAATTATGTTTATAACATTTGACCTTTAGGAGCATAAACATTACTTCCTGGCACACTATAAAAAATGTACTCACTAAAATAGCACTAAAATCTGATGGCGCTTGCGCATTATACGCCTGGACTTTGAGCTCGTATGCAGTATCGGGTGCGAGATGATCGAGTGTGAGTTCTCTAGCATCGCCACTGGCTGACACCTTCTCATAGGCGCCCGCTGATGAAACTGCTCGGTAATACACGTAGAAACCCTCTGCCTCTACGCCACCAGAACTTGACCACTAGGAAAAAATTTAAGACTTATATTTATAACATTCTTTAATTTTTAAAAATAATTAAGTACAATTACTTAGCTCAATGGTTATTGAAAGTAACTGATTTACTGACCAACATATTATGTAATTGAAATTATAAACTACTTCCGTAAAAATCTATCCATTACAGTCTATCAAATGTCCATTGCTGAACATAGACAACCTCATAGATTGCCTTAATATATTGGTCACAGTTGCTACCCTTGGCAGGCGAGTTGGAAACAGCAGTTTTTATTATTTTAGTTGTTATCAGATAGATGCTGCAAAAACAGGATATGGGCATATATCGTTTCAGTTTCTCTCTGTCGCTCTTTACAAAACCCAAGGAATGATATGGGGTGGTGGATTCTCTTACGCCGTAAATACACGGCATATATGTAGATAGTGTGTATACATGGTCATTTTGCAATGTATGTATGCGCTTTACAGAGAACGTTCTAATAGAATAAGATAAGAATAAGTAGTATAGGCGAATGGTGACGAAAAACTCAAAAAAAAAATCTCAACCATTCTGTCCTTTTTAGCTTTTAAATTCAGAACGGGTGGTTATACATTATTTTAACCGATTGCCATTCATAAATATCTAACACCTACTATTTAACTACGTGTTCATTGAGAGTGCGTGCTCATTCGTAAGGGTCGCTCGGTTACAAATTTAGATACCTTGTCACGCGTCTTCCCAGGAGTGCGCATACGTGTTGTTGTTGCCCATAAATTACATTCAATTTGAGATAATGTCATATAAAAGTAGATGCCTTATTTACTCGTATTTTCAAAATCTACAATAACGGTATATCATTAAATAAAACTACTTTTACGGATTCTATCGCGTTTAATTAACTTATTTTTATTAATTCGTGAATTTTTAGGTCATTTACAGTACCCATGGTCACGGGGGGCTGAGGTAATTGACGTCCCGATGTCAGAGTTAACCCGGAGTACCTTCAGCTTTTTTCAAATATTAATTTTGGTCCGATCTACGCAGAATTAACTTACTGTGTCTTGAAGTCTTGCAGTGGTATGCTTGCTTAATTTTATTAATTACAGGATCCCAAGCAGGTGGTAGTACCCAGCCTCCGTCTCTATTGAAATTAGGATGTTTTTTAATTTCAATAGTCTCAATTATCATCCTTGGCAGGAATCGATGTTCTTTCGCGAGAATTTGTGGTTTATCAAATCTATTGTAATGGCAGGGGCCGTCTAGGATATGATCACAAACTGCAGACTTCAGTTGGTGTTTCACGTCAGCAATGTGTTCTTTTAAAAAAGTTTAAGTTCAGACCAAAATTAATAACTAAGCTGAAAGCTGAATGTAGTCGCCTGCTAAGCTTGACAATTAAATCAAATTCTCCCAGCAACAGTAGAGGCCCATATCCAGTAGTGGAGCTTTACGGGCTGATGTTGATGGCGATTAACTAAAATAGGTGCATCGAGTAAATAACTGAAATACATAGCATATACTATACGGTAAGCTTATTTGCAGTTTTTCAAACTAGGCAACCACGAAATGCCAACCAATAAATCACTCGTATTTCTTTCCTACACTCTCTTTGGTAAGACTAAAAAAATTTAAATTTTAGGGTCTAAAATAAAATTAAAGCCTCGTTATGATTTAGGCTCGTGTTTCAAAACGTTCTTTTTTTTTCTTTAAAATTAGTTTAAAACGATATAAAATGATCATCTGAGTATTTAGTTTAAGTATTATTTTGATGTGAGAGATCCGTGTCCAGTAGGAGACTGTTATGATCTGATGATTATGTTGATTATATTGCTTAATTTATAGATAGCTTAGTATAGTTACCGTCCACTCAAGATGTATGCTGTGCGGTGATGTAGCTGTTGCTTTCGTGAGTACCGGAGCTCGAGGACTTTGTCCTCCGCGTTGTAGATAAAAACGCGGACTGCTTCGGCCCAGTTTGTTATCTTGATTAGAGTATACAGCTGCTATCCTAAACCTAAAAAGTCAAAACAAATACAATAAAAAAGTTTATAATCTGAGAATAAAATATATACTTAATAAACGTGTCATGCCGTATAATACGATAAATGAAAACTCTCTCATTACTAACTAGTTCCATAAAAAATTTATAAATAGGTAGTTAATTTTGTTTATATTATGTCAAACTAAAAAATGGAAATTTTCATTTTATATAAATAAATATAAGTATCTTATTTTGTGAAAGTGAAAACTTCTTGAAGCACGTTGGACACTTTTAGGACGGGGAAAAAGCTTTTTGGATTCTTCGAGTATAGTGTGTGAAAGACAGATGTGTGAAAATTTTATTACTATATTAATACGTTGATAAAAATAATTTCTCATAAAAAATAATTCCTAAAAAAATTTTTAACAACCCAAAAATAATGTTTACAAGTTTTTTTATAGGATCAGAGTGACAAGCGAGTACACAGTCCACCTGATGGTAAGTGGTTGCTGTGGCTCATAGATATCTACATCTATTCTCGTTTCCGAATAAAATGTAGATGTGTTGTCAACCGTGAGGAATGCCTCTTTCCCAGTAAAAAGGGTCTCCGGTTATCTACACTCACCAAACGAAACACAGCAGCGTTAATTACAGTTTTAAGTTCTGATATTACGAGCTCGTCGGGGAAGGCCTAGAACACCAAGAAACCTGAATTCTATTTTTTTGTGGGATAAGGGTGACCCGTAGACATCTTCATTTATTCTCAATTAAGAATCAAAATACATATGCGTTGTCACCCCTAACGACTAAGATGGAAAGCCTCGTTTTCAGTAAAAAGGATCTCCGGTTCTCTACACTTACCATACGAAACACAGCAGTGTTAAGCTGCTATTTTACGTTGGTATTCTGTTAGAGTGTGTTTCTTCCCCGGTCGAGCCGACCCATTCGTGCTAAAACTATACTACTAATATAGCTGCAGCATGGCTCTACCACGTATGAAGTTTGTGAAGCTAAGACGTTTTCACTTCTAACGTGCACTCCTACGAGCTTGCGACTGGCAGTTTTTTTTTATTAAAATGAAGTGACCAACGAACCAAAAGTCCACCTGACGATAAGTTGTTTCTGTATTCCGTGGACACCTGCCAAGATGGCTATCTTGAAACAAACAAAGCTACAGATCCCTTATCACTTCTGAGGACTAAGATGGAATGTCTCAGAACCTGTAATAATATATTTAGTGGCAGATATAGGTAATACAAAGAAGGTGGTTCCTAGTAGGAAGTAGAAAAATTGTTTTGATGAATTTTGGATAAGTTAATTTAAAAAATGCCAAATAAGAGAAATTCGACAACGTTTCGAACGCTTAACATTTTATTTTGATATATACGAGTATAGTGCCTGGCGTAAACACCCCCCACCCCTATTAACACAAGTAATAGGGGTGGGGGGTATATATATATATATATATATATATATATATATATATATGTATATATGTATATATATATGTATATGTATATATATATATATATAATTTAATAAAAATTTAAGGTTTTCTTTTATTAGACAAAGGGTCGTCGGAAAGAGCAGAATAACGTCTGCCTGGTCAACTAGTATATATATATCAATTATTTTATTTTTATTAAATTATTTATTTATTTTTCGGGCATGTAAAAACCAAAGTCGTCTCTAATATTTTCGAAAGTTGGAAAGAGTAAGAGCTATCAGAGAGATAAGAGTATTCAGATTTTAGCCAAAATTATATTTGCATTATTTAAGATAGGGAGACGGTGTTACCAACTAAGTTAAACTATTACTATCTATTATCGAGTATTTACATTTACAGAGACACTAATGATCTACATTAAAGAACATATCTAATGATAAAGTGGGTTAAATGACAAAGGAATAGTACAATACAATGCCAATTACGGGAGTGTACGATGTAATAAATTAATCAGTGGCAATTAATATCGGAACAATGAATCCATACGACACTATTATAGATGTGAAAGTGACTTTCTACGTTTCTCACGCAGCAACTGGCCAACGGATCGAAAAGATTATAGTCGATATCGAGTAAGACGATAAAGATTATGAGTTTAAACTAGGGTTCCCAACCCTCCCGGATTGCAAGGGAGATTCCGGTCATGATGGTTAATCTCCCGACCTCCCGGGGTGCGATAATTTCTCTGGTTTTTCTAAAAATTATACGCCATTCTTCGCTCGCGTGTGTCGCTACTCACTCGCTTTCCGGTCACACACAACATCCCACGCCTTTGCCAGTGTAAATCTGTTCGACTCGCCGTCGACGTTGTCGATTCGGCGGTGTCTGTCCGGTCCGGTGAAGATCCGGAATACCAAGCAATGAAAATTTTATCTCTTAAAGTACCAATCACATGGCCTGTCCATTTATTACTAGACTCCAGTAATTATTAAATATTGACTGAGATAGTGACAAACTGTACGATGAGGTTGGACTTTTGCGTGAGATTCAACCACAACTCGTTGAAGAAGCGTATTCAGCATGATGGAACAAACATATAGCAAGGAAATAAACCGAATGAGTATTTCTTTAGTAAAAGCAGAGTTACAAGTACTAATAAACTTCAATTTTTCATGTAAAAACTTTTATGATTTTGTGGTGAAAACTGACAAATATTAGATGCTGCTCGAAAGCAAAGTATATAAAAAATGTAAAAATTTATAAATGATTTAGATTTTCTTTCAATCCCGTTTTCAATCAATCTTTTTTACAGAAAGAAAAAGAAAATTTTTCTTTCTGTAAAAAAAAACCTATATTAAATAAAATTTATGCGATATTTTTATTTCTAACATAACATAACATATCATAACACTCACGCCTGTCACCCAGAGGGGTAGGCAGAGACTACGGACTACCATTTGGCGCGATCCTGACACACCTCTCTCGCCTCCTTTACATCCATATATCTACGCATACACGCTCGTCGGTTAAGGGTACTCCTAATCTGGCCCATTTTTAATGTATCGCCGATTTGTACGATAAACCTTCGTCTAGGGCGTCCCTTCCCGACCCTGCCGTACACTTCTGCAACATAAATTTGCTTTGTCACCCTTTCCTCGTTCATTCTTTCTACATGACCAAACCACCGAAGCATTCCTTTCCTTTAATCCTTGTCACAACGTCATCTTGCAAACCACACTTTTCTCTTATCACATTATTTCTCACCGTCATAATTTTTTTTATTTTTTACACTTAACCTTATTATAGGGGATATATACCTATCAAACAGTAAAGAAGATTTGGAAGCTTTTGCAAAGGTTCAAGCTGGAATTTTCCTGAATCGCAGCACATTCCCACAGATTTATCCTTGTACTTGAGAGTTTTACACCACTCGCATTCGATGTTCATCGGTCCCAAAACAACAGTATTATCACTATCGTATGTTATGTCACTATCATAACTCAGTCCAGAAAAGGCTTTAGAATTCCGAGGTTATAGACGTCTTTCAACTCGCTATTCTTCATCATATCGTTCATATCGCTACTGTGATAGAGTATACACTTCAAGGTGTTTGTGGTGATATTTATTTGTAGCTTGATTATGTACTTCAGGGTGTTCCCGCTGATAATTAAAAGACAGCCTGCCTGTGAACTTTAGGGCGTTTTTTTCTAATAATTAGCATACAATGTTTACGATGACTAGGAGGTTCGTTTTGATTATATTTTTCTTGCTTCCTTAAATTGCAATTTTCTGACCACATTGGTAACTCTAGCCCTGCGTTTTTGCGCCTTATTTTTTTGTACTTGGACTGACTCTTGGGTAGTGAATATTGGAATTTCTGTGCAATTTTTCGTGGACAAAGAAGAAATTAAATCTGATTCACATTCAGATTCAATAGAAACAGAAACTTTTTTATTCAATATAGATTACAAATAATACTTATTGAAAGTCACTCTTTTGTATAATTACCACTGGTTCGAAAAAAACACCTCTGTCCTGGGAAGAACCAGCAAGAAACCCAGCGGGACTTTTTTTTAAATAACAGCTTACAATCATGTATGTTACACAAATTATCAACACAACAAATTACAAATAGCTTGGTAGCGATCACCTCATTTCCAGGGGTTATTATCATCTATAAATTCTTTAATATTATAATAATCCTTTTTATACAAACTTAGTTTAATAAAGTTTTTGAACTTTGAGCAGGTCAAATTTTGTATATTTTCTGGAATTTTGTTGTATACATACAAAGCGTATACATCGCCCCAAGAATGAATTACTGACTCGATGGAATCGAGTAACTGGTACTACTTCCTTGTGTCTGTTCCTAGTATTTACATAATGAATATCATTTATTTTTGTAAAACTACTTTTATTTTTGTGTACGTACATTACATTTTCGTAAATGTATTGAGAGGCCAAAGTTAATATATTAATTTCCTTAAATTTTTGTCGCAGCGACTCTTTAGGCTTTAAATCATAAATTGCTTATTATAATTGTATAAGTAGGCAAATGAAAGTCTTGCACAACATTAGAAATTGGTGAAGGTTGAGTAAACGTTACAGTCACTTCAATGCGTCATTTTTTGGTTATTGGACGCTCATCAGTTTTATTATCTCCGTCAGCATCAGGGTAGACATCAAAGTGACCATTAGAAACATATTAGGGAGAACGTAACCTTTTGATGGGTTGGTCTCAGGTTACCATTTCGATATACTTCAAATACAAATAGGTAGCAGAAACCGCCATATGTAGAGTGTTGTAACATATCTAATGTATACTCTTCTTTTGTACCATTATTGTTGCCATGATGGTCATGAGACATAACAGCAAATTCATCCCAATATTTCGTCACATGACGCACAATTTCTTTACGAATATCCATTGAGCTTTCTTGTGCCGTACAACAAATAAGAAAGCGTACGGAAAAGGCATGCGCCATCCCCCACTACTGGTACAATATTAAGGTTTAATAATTTCCCATTGATGTTAACCAACTCTGCTCCCATTTTTATAAATACACACGGACAAATTTAAAAAAAAAGTATAAGAAAATTGTGAAAAACAATACACACTAAATTAAACTTCTAAGACATATATTACCTACTTAAATATCTGTATTAAAACAAAAAGAAAATTATATTATTATGCACAACAAATCAAACACAGATATTTTCCAATTAAAAGTAAAAATCTATATTACACACTAACATATCAAACTCAAAGAAACTTATTTAATTATTATAACAACAAATGAAAAAGAAATTAAATTAACTACACTCAAAATATTCTAATGAAATGGTAAAAATGAACTTCCAAACAAATTATACAGCAATCGCAAATATTCGCTAAGTAGGTAATCTAAGAGATTTAAAGAAAAAGAAAATATCGAATAATCGAACGAATATGTATGAATCCTCTAGAAATACGTTTAGCATCAATTAAATTATAGCGATAATTTATTCGTTTATAATTTTGTTATATCAATTCATCATTATACTTCATTTGACATCACTAGTTCTCACCTTAAATGGTAATGTGGAGATGCTACCAATTATAAGGGATCCATCGTTTCATTAACATATAAGTATTTCTATGCTGATAAGTTTTTCATTGAAATAATCCAAGAACAAATAAAATTGAAATTGCGAATTCTAATCTGATTTAAATATTCATTTATATTTAACATTCCAATTTTAAAGGGTATTGCATTACACCAAGCTTTTATGTGAGTTCAACGTTTTGCGTTTTCAAACATGTGTCAAAATAAAATGTAATTTAAAGCAAAAGCACTAACTTCGATGCAAATCACCCCCAAAATAATTTACTATCCCTTTTTCGTCCTGCTAGGCGATGAGTTTCAATAAAATACGAAACACGTCTTCCATCAATTCTGTTAAAAAATGTTTATGCAAAATTTGCAGTAGATTTGGTCAAGGAATCACGTTGTCCCATAACAACTTTGCCCCCGTTTTTCACCGCTTTAGGGATGGATAGAATTTCGAAAAATCCTTTTTTTATCGGATGCTCACGTCAAACAAATAACACACCCTCCAAGTTTCGGGTCTCTATGATTAGCGGTTAAGGCTGTGCGTTGATCCGTCAGTCAGTCACTCAGGACAAAGCATTTTATATGTATATATAAAGATTCGTCGGTACAATCCGAAAAAACAAAAAAAACAGGGCACATGAGTTTATTGGAATTTTAAGTACTGAATTACCATGGCCTCGGCATAAACATTGTAAGGAAGATGTCTTACATGTCGATAGTACAAGTCGACGAAAATAAAAAAATATTCGATGATATTTGAAGGCATAGAATTTATAACAAAGCAACGCAGAGCACTCCTCTCTGTGTCATTATTCTAGTTTTATTATTTAATAATTGAATTGTAATGTAAAATTTATTAGCTAAGGTCTACGAGAGTGATAATATGGTGTGTCTTGTGTATTACCTAGTTTAAAGTGCACCTCTCCCCCTCCATCAATTGCCTATATATTTGAAAACCAGCGTAAAATAGGAGCTTAATACTGCTGTGTTTCGTATGGTGAGTGTAGAGAACCGGAGACCCTTTTTATTGGCAAAGAGGTATTCCATCTTAGTCCTCACGGGTGACAACGCATCTGCATCTTGAGTCTTTATTGAGGATAGATGTAGATGTCTATGGGTCATAGTAACCACTTACCATCAGGTGGACTGTGTGCTCGTTTGTCACCCGATCCTATAAAATATATATATATATATATATATATATATAAATCACCAAACCTAGTTCCACTTATTTCAATGTCAATGGGAATAGGAATAGTACCCACAATCAATAATACTGTTACTGTCATTGTTACAGCCTATCAAAAGACCACTGCTGAATATAGCGCTTCTCTATATGTTGCCTATTAGGTGGGATATTAACACACAGTCGATAATACGAGCCGTTTTTCATCTCTAAGCGAGGCATCATCAGAAAAAAAAGGCCGCGTGAGACACCAGTTTAATTTTTTCATGGATCTTAACTATTTTATACTGCATCTTTAAAATAATGAATTTCCGCAAAGTAGAGCCCGATTCTGTTAATATCAATTATAATTTATAATCCAATTTATCACTTACTTGTAGTATCTGTCGGGAACCAAACCATCGATTTCAAAAGCGTGTATATAGGAAGGTATATCGTAGTTGGCAGTGTGCCATTGCCCATTTGTAGAGTTGGTGGAGTTGCTTGAATTACTAACTTCCTTGTATTGAACCTGATAATTGAAACGCTTGATTAAATGGTTTAATTTTAACCTATTACACTGATTATTTATCGATTACTTTTTTAAGAATTTCGTATCAAATTTCTGGCTAAGAACACTATTTTTCTGACACTACATTTTCAACGACAGGGAAGGAAATAAAATGTTTAACACCTGTGCCTTTTTTTTAAATGGTGAGATAAGTAGATTGATAGTTTCTGGTAGTGAAAAAGTATTGTCAAGTAAACATCAACATGATCATAACACATGATCATAGGGGACTCCTTTGCCTCATAAGATCTTCACTTCGTTAGCATGTGGTTTCTTTCAATTCTTGTTTCAAGATAATTGTTTCTTTCAAGAGTGTTTGACATATTTGTATAGCAGTGGCTTAGAATTGAGTTGCGGCGCTGGCGGCAATCAGTTTGAATCCCAGAAACAGAAACAGAAACTTTTTTATTCAATATAGATTATAAATAATACTTATTGAAAGTCACTCTTTTGTTTGATTACCACTGGTTCGGAAAAAACCTCAGTCCTGGGAAGAACCAGCAAGAAACCCAAGCGAGACTTTTTTTAAATAACAGCTTACAATCATGATGTTACACAAATTAACAACACAACAAATTAGAAATAGCTTGGTAGCGATCACCTCATTTCCATGGAACAAGTATTTTTATGGCCTACAAATAACGGATCGATACAAGAGAAAATCCCAGTGTAGTAGTATTAACGTTTTTAAAAAGAATTAATAAATCGGTAGTACTTAATACAAGACCTCAAAAACCAATTTTTATCAATCACACTACACAATAGCCAATTATTTAAGACACATTAGCTAAGAGTTTCCTTTTAATTCAAAGTAATGTTTTCAAGTATAAAAAATATTTTACTTTAACACTTATCACTTTAATATCTAATTAAAGTAATAAACGAGCACCATTTACGAAACATGACTGAAATTCACTTTTTATTTAACATTGCTGCCAAATTTCAAAAATAAACAAAACATTAAAAAAGGAATTATAGTCAACCATATCGACATAACATGTAACAAAATTATTTATTACCTTAAAAAATTGTATAGGAAGACCTTCTTTAGCGTTGGACCAGGACACCATCACGCTCTCGTCCGACATGCGCGTGACATTCGGACGCGACGGAGGTATCATTACAGCTGAAACAAATTAATTTATTAATAACCAGCGGACCGGAACCGAATAATTTAATAATAATAATTGGCGATGTAGTCTTTTCGTATAAAATGACAAAGTAAAAAAACCCAAACCAGCCAAAAAACTGCATCGTCAAAGATAAAAAAGTGATATTGTGTTCGCTAATAAACAAAACAAGGGTTGTTAATAAAATTAATATCAAAATTACTTACTACATACATACTTAAAATAACAAACATTTTCACACAGCAATACGGCAATTAGCTGACTGATGACAGTTTCAGATTGTTTTGTGTAGAACAATGTATTTTGTTTCGTGTAATTATAACAAAAGGGCCATTAAGGAGCTAAAATACATCTGACGTGAAGTATACACATTAGCTTTTAATTCCATTTCTATATTGAATGCAAAAATTTAGGTGCTTTGTTATTAATGAGTATGAATGAATATGGTAATGACTTCGTGCCAGATATTTCGTCTCCTTTTCTAAATGATTTGAAGTACAATAGTATCCACTCTTGAAAAAGATGGCAAAATTGACACTTTGCTGCGATAGGCTAGTACTCTAGACATGGTTTCAGAGAATAGATTGGCAGCGTATAATAGAAATATAATGCTACTGTGTTTCGTGTGGTGAGTAACGTAAACTTGTAACCATTCCGTTTTAGCTAAACGTAGTGGTTATATTCTCTTTGGTTTTAGCCTTCAGAGGTGACAACTCATTTATTTTTTATTTTTGAAGTGAAATCTTCTTTACCATCGTTGTGATTTGAAACTGGATGAAACGATAAAGCGACACTGAAGAGATTAACGTATACATGTATAGGATTTAGCCTGCGATAGAATGAGATAGAATACAGTGTAGTAAGGTCTAATGGCAAAGTGCGGACCGCGAACTCAAAAGGTTGTGGGTCCGAATCCGCCATTTTCTATTTTTAATCTTACCAATAGTACATTGCATTGCTAGTATTTTTTTCTTAAATAGCGTTTCCTATTATTTCGGTCTCCTCTTTGTGCGGTGCTTTAAAGGTAGTTAATATAAATTTTAACTGTTAAAATAAACAGTTAAAAAAATAAAAAAATATTAAATTAATTATATTAACCATATTGAATAAAATTATCTTAATATACCAATCTATTTCCACCTTGAGAGTCAATCAAATTTTGTTCGATACCTATAGAATGAAATAGATGGCGCTATTATAAAGCAATTTTATTAGAAAAAAATATTCTTTTGGTTTATTACACTAAAATTAAGTCTGAAAATAAGGATTACAACATTTATTTGCTACATGTTTGCTGCACACATGTTTTTTTTTTTTCATTTTAAACCAGGCCCAGGTGTTGTTCTAATAACACTAAGATATTAATGAACATTTGATCGGTATTTTTCTATACATCATTTTTTCCATTTCTTTAAATCAGTCTACCAAACCCACAATCAAGCACGTAACCAGCGCTTAAAAAATGCAGCTAAAATTTTCAAAACAAACCAGGAGACGGGCAGTGGTTTATTTCTAATAACAAATTTAAAAAAACATAAAAACTACGGTTGCCGAACCACCTGCCAAGCGTGGCAACTATAGCAAATATGAGGCAATTTTCGTGAGAGGCCTATGTTTAACAGTGGACTTTAATTATCTGTAACGGTAATGGTAAAAGTTAAGTCTAATTACGACCTCATACGAGGGTGACACTAAAAGTTCTTAGAAAATCAAAAACTGAACAATTCATGCTGAAGTGACACAGACAATATTAATTTTGCCGCCAAATCGTAGACAAATGACAAATTAATAAAATACATATACAATAATATTGGCAAAGAGTTCCATTTTCAAAATTTGAACTTATTTTTTTTATTATATCGTTTATAAGTGGCCAGTTCTAAAAACTTTCAGTGTCGCCCTCAAGAAAATTTCAATCAAAAAAAGAAGAATTTGTAGTGCTACATCACGCTAGTAATAATCAAGAAGAAAGAGTTGCTGTGTGATTGAGGCATAAGAGAACCCATCACTCCATATTGTCCCTTGAATCGTATGCGGCGACTAAAGATAATGATAGATTTTTTTATTTCTTTCGATAGATGGCCGGCGACGGAGAATATCGAAGAAGCGAAACGTCTGGCACTGCGATTGTCATACGCTTGCCAGGCGTGACGGTTAAGACAATCCCTTCCTAAAACGAGAGAGTCTCGCCTATGTCCAGCAATAAAGCGATTGTCAATACGCCTTACAAATCTCACGATTAAAGCAAGTCTTCTCTAATACAGTAGAGGTACTTGTTCAGTTGTAAACTTTTACCGAGCTCTGACGAAGAAGAAACATATACAAACAAGGTTACCTTTATGTTTTCTTGGGTTTTTCTTGTTATGCCGCTTTGGTGTTTGTGATGGTACGTGTATTTTTGGCGTCTCCGCTGAATAGTCCTACAAAAAGAAATTCGTAATTTAAATATTTATATATAAAAGTTGAATATAATGTATGTCAATAGCATAAAATGAAATATGAAAGTAGATATTATCCTACAAAACATCAAGACTTTTTCAATCAATACATTTACTTTAGAAAGAAAGAAAATCTTATTTCTTTTTGAATTTTGCAAAGTTATCGGTTATAGGTTATCTAAAACAAAAATCAAAATCAATCTGTTGTCTGTTGAGAAACCATTTTCTCATAACTGGGTAACGAATGAAATAGAAATAACACAAGGAGTACATTCTTAACTTTGACTCGTATTTTAATTATAGCACTGAATAAATAATAGTACAAGAACTTTTAGTAATGGAAATTGAGCTCAGTTTTTCTTTTAAGATAATAATGTCTGGAAAGAGCTCATTATATATCTAATGTGCTGGCACATACAGCGTTAATTATTCTTCTTTTGTTCTTAGACACGTGGCTCTTTTGCGAGGTTTTTTTTTTACATTAGTAAGCACAATAGAGTAATAAAACTATTCATCTAAAAATGACTTCGTCAAATTAAAATTAAAATAATAAAAAAAACTTACTTCGTCAAACTAAAAAAAGAAAAATAATCAACGCTGCCAGCAACAAATAGCACATTTAATATGATGCATTTGAAATACATATCACAAATATTTCCCTTGTGAATACCTGATCTGATATCTGTACCGGCACGACGGTTAGCATGGCCGCGTCGAAAGCACAGCCTAGCGTATTGCACGCGAAACATTGCACAATGCCTGCATGACGTTTCTCGACGTGTTCTATGTAAAGATCGGTATCTGAAATAAAAAAATATAATATAACGTATAATGTAGATCAGTAAGAGTTCCAAGAAGTACACATATCAAGAGTTCCAAAAGGTGCACCTCTCGAAACTTTACAGAGTTTTATTTTATTTTATTTTTTACTTATCAAAAACTAGTACTATAATCGTACCTGGTTATAAATGGTTATATAGCTCTAAATGTTAAATCGTTTGCGGAGTAGCACTAAAATAACTAGCAGGCCGTATGAGACATTAATTTGTCGTCATTCTTTTTTGGTGTTTATTTCTATTTTTAAGGTTAACTGGATGTACCTTTCTGGTTACTTCTTCATGTTATGTTTACAAAAATGTTCACTTTTTTATAGAATAAGGGTGATAAACGGGCACATAGTCCACCTCACATGGTATGCGGATGCTGTGGCCCATAAACATATACATCTATTCTCGCTTAAGAACCAAAATGCAGATGTGTTGTCATCCATTACGACTAAGATGGAATGTCTCGTTTCCAGTAAAAAGAGGCTTAGCAGCATGAATCTAGTAATTTACTCTGGTATTCTGACTTAAGATTTCCTATGCATTTGGTTGAGGCGAGTAGTAGTAGTGGCGAGACGTCTGATACTAAAAGAGTAATTCGCCTGGCCAGCGTGACGATTAAGGCCAATTGTCTATTCAACGGAAACTACCCATGTCCAGCGACAGTGGACATGGGTAGTTCACAGACTAAAGAAATAGCAAAATATTAAGTAGATGGATATGGAAAGGCACCAAAAGAACTTTTTCTTCTTAAGTAGGCCGTAATAGTCCACTCCTAGATATGGGGCTAACCCACTGCAATAAGTGGTCGCAGTACCATTCATATTGCACTCATTTTGATGCTACTCCCCTTCGCCTTTCTATGTATTTTAAGTCTCTACGTACATGTACTACACAGCATATTACCATCTATCGAAAGCCATGTGATCTTTCTCTTTTTTACTATAGTCGCTTCATACAACACCCATTGAACGCGATGGATATAATTTATCACCTCTTTTACGCCGCATACTTACAACAATAGTGGTAGTACTTATAAGCCGGTCAAGGTATATGAAATAAAACTATGTCATTTAAAGACAATTAAGCCAAAGACAAAACAAAATTATTTAAAAAAAACTTACCATTCGTCTTAATGCCCTTGCTGTTTCTCATCAGCTCGGCGTTGAGCAGCCAATGTACGGTAGGACGTGGTTGTCCATGAGGTATACCACAAGTAATTCGGGCGCTTCCACCTTCGCTGGCGTTCACACTCTCAGCAGTCCCTTCCCAATGTGGAGGTAGGAGCGCTACCACTTTCCAAGAACGACTCACGCCGTTAGCCGAACAGGAGTATACGCCCTTGGAAGAAAAGTAATATTACTTGTACTATTTCTATCACAGGAATTTGTGTGTACTACAAAACGTCAACAAAATGCTAAATACTTTCCACTAATTCCGGTGTTATCACTACATAAGCTCAATGCACGCACGCATTACTTAGGTACGCACACACGCACTTACTTAAAAGTGTATTTAACTAGTGATTTGAAATTTGCATTTTATTTTATAACCTGCCAACTTTATTGGTATTTTTCTACCGGAGGTGAATGGTGAAGGATGCCATAAGGCATTAAGTTCACCCATTGTAACCCTTAGTTTTACTTGTCTCACAGTAAAGATTAAATAAATAAATACACAACACGATATTTTTAAAAAAAACTTACCTCATCGTGCGTCGTAAAGGGCTGTATAAAAAGCGCATCTCGTATTGAGAATTTTACTCCGTCTCGAGTCCAAAGCACGCGCGGGGGCGGAGTCCCCACTGCGCCACACCATAGACGCAAGGTTCCGTTTATCTTCACCGAAATGGTTAGTGCACTATCAGGATCTCTTGTACCAACATATTCTTCCGTTTCTAAAAACCTATAAGAAAGATATTTATACCTATAATCAACTTAATGCAATTAGATCGTTTAGAATTGCATTATTTTTAGAGATATAACGGTGAAAATCCACCTAATGGTAGGTTTATGGCCCATAGACGCCTACATCTATCCCCGATTAAAAATAAAAAATTCTGTGAGAGCGTGGTCCTACCCCGGGCGAGCCGACCCACTCGTGCTACAAGTATACTACTAATATAGCTGCAGCATGGCTCTACCACGTATATTTTTGTACGTGGTAGGTGTCCACCACGAGGACCACACTCGCACAGCAGCATAATGCTTTGCGTTTCGTATGTTAAGTGAAAAGAACTGTAGACTCTCTTTACTGGTAACGAGTCACTCTCCTCAGTGTTACCAACTCGAATTTTTCCAAATTTGTAGATTGGTATACAACTTTCCGTATAATTACGTAGATGCTATTTTAAAGTATCCGTAGATATGCAGACTACTTAAGACGAAAATTTTTGTTTTTGTCATGGAATAGATCAAATTTTTGGAGAAACCACCACCACGTGGTAGAGCCATGCTGCAGCTAGATATTCCATCTAAGCCCTAATGGGTGATAACGCATCTGCATTTTGATTCGCAAACGAGGATAGATGTAGATGTTTATGGGCCACAGCAACCAGTTACCATCAGGTGGACTGTGTGCTCGTTTGTCACCCTATCCTGTAAAAAAAAACACCTGAGTCAGTTGTCGAGCGATCCCTTGTGAAAACAAATAGATTTTTACGGAGTAATTTATTTTTATTAAAAAAAAAAACAATTAATCTTAAATTAACTTTTCAAAAATTTTTCTGAGAGTTGGTAGTACAGAAATAAATCTAAAATTAGCGGGGTCCAATGTACTACCAGATTTAAATAAATGTATTACTTTACTGTTTCATTAAATCAGGAAACACCAGATTCGATACTAGTATTAAAAATAATAGCAAGATGAGGTGCAATTAAATAAATCTATTATGGACGCAATAACTGTAACGGAAATCCCCCATAAATCTACGGTTTTCTTTACATCAAAAGGGTTTTAAAATATTTTGCAATATCTTGTGGTAATACTTTTTCAAATCTAAATTATTTTAAACAGGTATTAACATTCTGTTTCAGTAATGAATCGGCGACAGTAGGAGAAGTATTCAATGACTTTGTTGTCAAAATAGCTATATCAGTGAAATATTTCTCAAACACCGCTGCGACTTCTTGATTTGATCTAGTCAATTTATTAATAATTTTCAATTGATAATTTGTATTACGAGGTTTGTCTTTACCGGTTTCGCTATTAATTATACACCACGTCAAATTTATTTTATTTTTAGGGGTCTTTATTTTGTTGCTAATATGTAAAGATTTGGCTGTAGAGCAAACTCTTTCAAACATTTTAGAATAATTTTTGACATATTCTCTAAAAGTATCGGAAAGATCATATAATCTTTCATGGTAAAGTTCATATTATAATCTTCGTCTCTCTTATGAATTCGCCCACTCATTAAATGCTTTGCGACTGTTACTGGAGAATTTTATAGAAGTAAATGTTTTATTAATTTTTTTATAAATTCATTGCATAAAAGGGTAAATAATACTCCATATAAATAGTCTAAATTGTTCTTGTAAGAAAGCGATGGAAGGTTTTTTACCATATTACTTCTAAATCTCTCCAGACGTTTTGCATTAATTGGAACAAACACAATTTTCTCAATTACCTGTTTTTGTGCATGTATGGTTGTTTTACAGTTGTCCATAGTGAACTTAGTAAAACCGTGGTCCTTCCCCGGTCGAGCCGACCCATTCGTGCTACAACTGTACTCTAATATAGCAGCTTGGCTCTACCTCGTAATAATTCCAGTTTCAGCTACATAATACATACCTCAATAGAATAAAAAACAGAATTCGAGGAAACAGAGGCGAATAATTGGAAATATCAGTTGCTAAATTGTGTAGATACTAAATTTCCCCTTACGTGAGTATATTTATTGATTTTAGTTATAAGTTTCCAGTTAAGGTAATAAAAAATAATGTATATATATTATATTAAACAAGAAATTGCGTACTTATTCTTTACAACATACACCTCCCTCTGAGTTTTAATAATAGTTTCCACGTAATGAAAATGCTTCGTCTAACATATTGAAATCTATGGCATGATGCGCTGTGCAGTTAGCCTAACATTTACGCTTGTTACCATAACCTGTTGTCGATTTAGCTGAAGTATTATTGAATTGTTTTAAAAAAATTGGTATATAATATTTTAATTCAATATAGATTTATGTTTATACTTATTGAAATTAGTTTTTTGTTTTCTTATTCTGAAAATACCTGTGTCCTAGAAAGGACCATCAAGAAACCCAGCGAGATTTTTTTATGATATAATTACAATGATATTTTTTTATTACCTATTTCAGTAGGTAGTCCTATTTTACTAGTTGGCTGGACTCTTTTATTGTGCCGCCTTACCTATTTCTATGTGCCAAATGTCAATGCTGGCACTGCTATATTCCAGTCTGAACAGTAAAGAGAGCCAGTATAAATACAGACTGTGAGGCCATTTCACCTTAGTATTCAGAGGTGACAACGCATCTGTAGCCGTCTTTGCTGTGAATGTCTTAGTAAGTGTGTGAAGATTTATACATACATACATACATACATACATATAATCACGCCTCTTTCCCGTAGGGGTAGGCAGAGACCAGTTCTTTCCACTTGCTACGATCCTTACATACTTGTTTTGCTTCGTCCACTTTCATTATTCCCTTCATACATGCTCTACGGTTTAGGGTACTCTTGACCTTTATGAGACGAATTCAAAATTAGATTATCTTTAAGGACTATTGAAACACATAACTATACATATAAAATTGAAGTGTATGTCTGTAATATTGAAATGACTGGTTTTTATTAAGCTCATGGGGTTATATAAAAAACGAAAAATTAATAAAATAAAAAAGTTCTTTAATTATACTGCAGTACATACTGCAGTAACCACATACCATCATGTGTATTATCATTGAAATTTATATGTGAGCATTGTGAAAGAATACTAACGGTAAAAACATTTTTTTTACATTACTAATATTCTCTTTAACCACTTCTGGTAAGCTTAAAATGCTTGTGTTAGAAGTGGTTCACAACAGTAGTAGAATGGCGTATTCAAACCCACAGCTTTTTGAGTTCGCGGTCCGCGCCATGGCGCGCCACTGTCGCTTACAATTAAAACTACATGTCTATATACATTTACCCCCTTTCCCTAAGGGGGTCGCTTCCGATTCGGCAGAAAGGCCCTCCAGGCCAAAGCCAGTCTCACAGGTGGTGTTTAGTGGGTAGGCACTTCATAGTGAGTTCCACATAACCAAGCAGCCGGCTGCGTGGTATGCATTTACGAGCATTCATCACCTCCCTCCCCCGCTTCCCGGAGGTTCTTCCCCTTGCTTTGGGCACAAAAAAAATATACAATCAAAATAATATCCTCCTTCATTTATGGAGTCGAAAAAATATCAGTATCCACTAACCTTTCACCACCGTTCCCTTCATGTTGCACTTTCAAATAAGTCCTTTCTGGTAGCTCCACAGTCTGCACACTCAGTTCATTTGTGGCCGTACATCCGTACACACCGCTGTCAGCCGTCGTCACGTTGTGCAGCACGAGGACACCGTGCGGCGTGTCCAAATGCTTTTTAGTCTAAAAGGAAAATTTTCCAAATTACTGAATTAATATATTTTCCAGATGCGTAAGATAATGCGTGGTAGAGCCATGCTGCAGCTATATTATGGTTGTAGCACGAATGGGTCGGCTCGACCGGGGAAGGACCACGCTCTCACAGAAAACCAGCGTGAAATAGCAGCTTGACGCTGCTGTGTTTCGTATGGTGAGTGTAGAGAACCGGAGACCCTTTTTACTGGCAAAGAGGCATTCCATCTTAGTCCTCACGGGTGACAACGCATCTGCATCTTGAGTCTTTATTGAGGATAGATGTAGATGTCTATGGGTCACGGTAACCACTTACCATCAGGTGGACTGTGTGCTCGTTTGTCACACGATCCTATAAAAAAAAAAAAAAAAAATTCCCATTTCATCTCTTGGTGGACTTATTATCGAATCACTCTCTACCTGATGATTCAGTGATTTTCATCTTGATTTCAACTCAGTTTAAGTTTATCGATTGAGAATATTTTTCATAATCCCACGACTAGCTTAGAAGTTACAGATGGACATAGAAACAGATAATTAACATACACACATACATAAATAAATATTTATATGTGTGTGTATGTATGTTAAATACAAACTAAAAATACTCCCCTCTTTTTAGGCCTTGTCCTAGACGGGTGTTCATGCGTGCAAATTTTTAATAAAACCATCTGAGGCGTTTTGATATCAAAATAAAAACATTCAGATATATTATAAAATAATAATATGAATATAAATAGATCATCAATTCTTACAATTGTTCAACTTTTAACTGCACGACGAAGATGACCTGTTTGATAACATGCCGATTCCGATGACATCACCTACAATAATTCTCTTAAAATATCTCATCTGTTCATTCACATGTAATATAGTAAGGCGAATTCGTTCATTAGCTTTAATATCGTATCATGAGATCATACTACTTAAAATAATAGAGCCGTGGTAGTTCAGAATAAGCTCCCGCCGCGAGCAACCCTAGTGCAATCTCCATCAGTACCAATGAAATTGTTACTTGTATTTTTTCCTTCACCATCTAGCTGATATCAACGCAATAATATATAAGCGAAATACCACTGATTCACTTACTCATCACGAGATCTCCAAGACTATATGCCCGATTAACTTGAAATTTGGTAATATACCCCTACTACGATGTAGTGTCGATGTAGACACAAGGATTTTGGAAAATTCAATCCCTGAGGGGTGAAATAGGGTGTTACGGCTTGTATAGGTACAATTGTTGGCGCGTCTGTAAATGATCGCACAGGACAGGATTATAGTGCACGAATGTGTGCGCAAGAACAGGTACACTCTCTATTCTCTCCCTCTTACAATCGGAGTCTAACAGCAGAGAGATCAGGCGTAGAAACAACGGCGTTACGTGCTTTTAAAGAGCCGGGGGTGACACACCGCCATCTTCCTGACTCCGGGATGCTACTGAGATTTCTTAACAGAAAAAAAACATTAATAGATTTTAGCCGAACTGGAATCCGAACCTAAAACCCCATCATTAGCAGTCGCATTTACGACCGCTAGAGGTAGTACAACTATAGAAGGCATTCCATCATAGCCTTCAGAGGTGACAACGCACCTGTAACCTTCTTTATTTGAAGTTGATTGCATGTGTCCACCGGCTGCAATAGCCACTTATATTCAGGTTGACTGTAACTTATTTTTTTTTAATATAAAATTGCTGGGCACAGATCTCTCATTTCAGAGTTATGGAACAATTATTAAGCCGCCGTACTGCTCCGGTGCGTATTGACTTTGGCAGATTTCCTCGGCGTATTTTATTCATAGACATACAGGTTTTCATCACCGCCGAGCACGTGGTAAATCAATACTTAAAACAACAACTAACAATTTCATTGGTACCGTACTGCTCCGATGTGTTTTGACTGTTGATAGACTTCACCCGTCCGCGATATAAGATAGTTTATCCAAATATTTTAAATAACAATTAACAATTCAATTGGTGCAGGCAAGAAACGACGAGCATTTAGCCTCCGAGCAACCGTATCGAGAACCAAGAATTTCAACTTCAAGGCAACTAACCTTTCCATCTTCTTTCCACCAGTTTAAGACTGCGGGGGGATCAGATATCGGCTCCTTACAGTGTAAGACGATAGTGTTGTGTAGAGGTGCAACAATGACCCTCTTCTCTGGTGTATTTCTGCTTAAATCCATTCTCGCGATAGACAGCCGAGCAGGAATGGACACAACGCTGATTGCGCCGTACCAAGCTATACACTGAAATTATAAAAAAAAATTAATCACTCAGTAGTTATTAGTATGACTCGTGTATTATATATTAATACATTAAATTGAAAAATAAATAAAACTAGTTTTACGGATTTTATTGCGTATATCAACTTATTTTATATTCCCGACGTTTTGAGTACCTAGGTACTTTACAGCTAATTTTTATAAGCAGGAGGTAGTCGTGGTTAACTATGACATTCGGACGTCGTTCACATCAGTCCCCCCCCCACCCCTCCCCCCGTGACCATGGGTGCTGTAAAGTTCTCGAAACGTCGGGAATGTAAAATAAGTTAATATACGCGATAAAATCCGTAAAACTAGTTTTATTTAAATGTGTAAATATAAGAAATCATTATGAAAAATAACTTATGATTCACCTAACAGTAAGTGGCAATAACCCATGGACACCTGCAGTCATCTTCAAACAAAGAATGCTTAAGATGCGTTCTCACCTCTGAATACCAAGATAAAATACCTCTCAGCCAGTAATTGTGCTAGCTTTCATTACGCTTCGGAATGGAAAACAGCAGTGTACAAATCGCTGCATGGCGGCAGAAAATTAATGCGCAGGAAAAACGAAAAAGTAAACACTTCCTCATTTCATAGATCATAGCAACACTTCTGTGATCAGATCAGAGACATTATACACAGCCACACCAAAACAAACATATTGTATCTTTCCACATATATGGTAGCACATTGGTGCCGGCGTGGATGCTCGCGTAATCTAAAACTTACAGTAAGCGTTTGAAAATGGATTTCTAAATGTTCATGTTTTTCTAAAAAAAAGTATAGGTCAAGATAATAAACCTTTCAATCAATAATACTTAAACACTTTAAAATTGGGATTAATATCTTTGAGATATCACTCAAGAAAACAGCCTACTCCTTTCTAGATTGTCGACCACGTATACCTGCAATTTCTCTTGTTAGGCGACAGTGATCACTTACCATCAGGAATAGAATAGAATAGAATAGAATGATTTTTATTCAATGTTGATTATTACATAATACTTATTGAAAGTCATTTTTTATTTACCACTGGTTCGGAAAATACCTCTGTCCAGAACCAGCAAGAAACCCAGCGGGACTTTTTTTAAACATAATTTCACTTTATAATAATTTTGTTTATACAATTTTAAATGAATTTTCATAGAACCAGCATGGTGGCGATCACCATTCCTTGATATTATAATAACCATTTTTGTACATTGAATAAAACTAAAATATAAGAAATCACTACATTTTTGTACAGTTTTGCTTTAATAAAAATTTTAAACTTGTTTATTGACAAATTTTGAACATGTTCTGGCATTTTGTTGTAAAAAGCGACAGTAGCCTAATGGCAGGGCGCGGACCGCGAACTCGAAAGGTCGTTTGTTTGAATCCGCCATTCGACTACTGTCGTGAACCACTTCTAACACAAGCATTTTAAGCTTACCAGAAGTGGTTAAAGGGAATGTTAGTAATGTTTAATAGCATTACTAGTATTTAAAAAAAAAGCATGTACATTGCCCCACAATCATCATTATCATCATAACAGCCTTTCATAAGTCCACTGCTGAACATAGGCCTCCCCCAAGGAATGCCACAAAGCACGGTCCTGAGCCACCTGCATCCATCGACTTCCTGTATGTCTTACCAGGTAGTCACTCCATCTCGTGGGGGGTCGCCCTACACTTCGCATACCGGTCCGAGGCTGCCACTCAAGAATCTTTCTTGCCCATCGGTTGTCGGTTCTTCGAGCTATATGGCCGGCCCACTGACACTTCAGCTTACTAATCCGTTGGGCTATGTCGGTCACTCTGGTTCTACTGCGGATATCCTCATTTCTAAGTTTATCACGCAGAAAAACTCCGAGCATAGCCCTCTCCATAGCTCGCTGAGCGACCTTGAGATTCCTCATACGGCCAGCAGTAAAGGACCACGTCTCAGATCCGTAAGTCATCACTGGCAACACGCACTGGTAGTACAATTTCGTTTTAAGGTTTTGAGGAATGTCTGACGAGAAGATGTGTCGTAGTTTCCCGAACGCTGCCCAGCCGAGTTGAATCCGTCGATTGACCTCTCGGTCGAAATTGACTTACCTAGTCGGACTATTTGTCCCAGGTAAACATACTCGTCAACAACTTCGAGCTTAGTGCTCCCAACAACTACCGGCATAGGTGTGACATGGACATTGAACATAATCTTTGTTTTGTCCATGTTCATGTTAAGACCTATCCGTTGGAAGACACTATTGAGGTCATTGAGCATAGTGCTTAGATCCTCCAGCGATTCTGCCATAAGGACTATATCGTCGGCAAATCGAAAGTGAGTGATGTACTCGCCATTGATATTAATACCGTATTTTTTCAGTCCAGAAGCTTGAAAACGTCTTGCAATGCAGCGGTGAAGAGTTTCTGGGATATAACGTCACCCTGTCTTACACCTCTCTGCAATTTGATAGGTTTCGTACTCTGGTTCTGTACTCGAATAGCCATAGTAGCCCTACTGTACAAGCACTTCAGCACTTCGATATACCGACAGTCAACTTGGCACCGCTGAAGGGACTGCAGCACCGCCCAAATTTCGACGGAATCAAAGGCTTTCTCATAGTCTACATACGCCAGGCATAGTGGCAAATTGTACTCCTCAGACTTCTGTACAACTTGCCGAAGGGTATGTATGTGGTCTATGGTGCTAAAGCCCTTTCGGAAACCAGCTTGTTCGGGAGGCTGGAAGTCGTCAAGTCTACGCACGAGACGATTCGTAATGACTCTCGAAAACAGCACGTAGACGCAGCTCAGAAGGGAAATCGGTCTGTAGTTCTTCAAGAGAGCGTTGTCACCTTTCTTGAAGAACAACACCACCGCACTTCTGCTCCACGCCTCCGGTGTAATGCCACCATGGAGAACGGAATTAAAGAGCCTCTGAAGGACTTCAAGTACCGGTTTTTCACCCGGATTACTCGCCTGGAGCCTTGCCGTTTTTAAGATGCTGGAGAGCCATTCTAATCTCGCTTAGACTGACATCCGGGATATCTTCGGAATAGTGTTGGATAAGACTCGCTCTTGAATCGTTACTCACACTTGCGTGTGGCTCCAACGATGATGTGTACAGCTGCCCATAGAACCTCTCAATCTCACTCAAAATCTCAGGTGCCCCGGAAACGATGCTACCACACTCAGTCCTCAGTTTTGACAGTTGGCTCTTTCTAGCAGACAGATCTCTGGCAAAGACTTTGGAGCCTTGATTTCGCTCGATCGCTTCTTCAATACAAGCTGTATTGAAGTTGCGTAAGTCCTGCTGCATGCATTTGGAGATCTGTCTGTTCAGTTGCCTGTATGCTGTCAAATCTGTTGTAGAATGTAGCTTCATCTCCCGTCTAACAGCCATGATATTGAGTGTGATCGGACAGTTTTTGTGTTCTTCTGCGGCGGGTCTTGCAGAATGCTACTTGCACTATGCCGTGTAGTGGCGGTCAAGAATATCCACTACCCCATATCTTCCCGTGGGTGTCGTAAAAGGCGACAAAGGGAAACAGGCAGGAAATGGGCAGCAGCATCTTCCTGATAGTAACCGAAATTACAATAAAAAAAACTGCGGTTGCCAACCCGCTCGCCAAGCGTGGCAACTATGGCAAATACCCCCCTATGAAGAGAGTAACAAAGAGACGGCCCCCAGTCCCCGGCGGCCCCGCTATTCCTGGCTACGGTAGTGACCATGGTAACGGCGGGGCAGGGTGTGCTAAGAATCTCCGATGGAGGTTCGGTTGCCACCTTAGGCGACTCGCCCTGGCAACGTACAACGCACGCACCATGAGGACTGACGAGAAGATCGTAGAGCTAGAAGAAGAGATAGATAGGTTACGCTGGCATATATTAGGCATTATAGGATTATCCGAAGTCCAAAGAGAGGGTGAGGACATGGTAATCCTCGAATCCGGCAACTTGCTCTATCACCGGGAGCGCGAACATCTGTCCAAAGGAGGTGTCGGATTTATCGTCCACAAGTCTCTCGTTAACAACGTTGTAAAGATCGAGAGTGTGTCGACGAGGGTTGCGTACCTTATACTCAGAATCACCAAACGGTATTCGCTGAAGGTCATACAGGTTTACGCACCAACCTCGGCACACCCCGATGAGAAGGTGGAGGAAAAGTACGAGGATAGCTTTAAAGCCATGCATTCCTTCAAAACCAACTATACGGTGTTAATGGGAGATTACAACGAAAAACTAGTCACAACAGAGAACGGCGAGCTCAAGGTAGGGAAAATCGGGATAGGGCAAGGGAACTCAAGGGGCCAGCAGCTGGCCGACTTCATGGGGAAAGAGGGACTCTTTATGATGAACTCTTTCTTCCAGAAGCGGCCCCACAGGAAGTGGACCTGGTCGAGCCCCGACGGTTCGACAAAAAATGAGATTGACTTCATTATGACGACCAAACGACAACTGTTCTGTGATATCTCCGTGATCGCGAGGGTGAAAACTGGTAACGATCACCGAATGGTTAGAGGCACACTGAACCTAAACGTTAAGTTGGAGAGGTCTCGTCTATTGAAGTCAACGCTCCGTCCCTCTCGTGCTCTGTTCCAAAGTCCTGAAACCTTTCAGGTCGAGTTACAAAACCGTTTTCAGTGGCTAGAAAACTGCAATGATGTGGACGATATGAATGACAAGCTTGTGGAAACTGTCCATGCGGTCGGAGCTAAGCCCCACAAATGAATTACTGATTCTGTGGAGTCTAGTAACTTGCATTACAAGCTTATGTTTGTTCCTAGTGTTTAAGGTAGGAACATCCTTATTCTTATTAAAGCTATTTATGTATTTATGTACATACATTACATTTTCATAAATATATTGGGATGCTAAAGTTAATATGTTTATTTCTTTGAATTTTTCTTACAATTTAGATTATAGATCGCCCGTACGGCTCTCTTTTGCAAAACAAGTATAGCTTCAATATCAGTCGCATTACTCCATAGCAAAATTCCATAAGACATTACGCTATGAACGTAACTAAAATACACTAACCTAGCTGTCTCAACATCTGTGAGACTTCTAATATTTCTTACAGCATATGCTGCAGAACTAAGTCTGCTTGCTACATTAATTTAGATATATGAGGGCCCCATTGAAGTTTCGTGTAATACCAAGAAAAACAGTGGTATCCACAAGATTCAACTCCTCCAGGTAAGCCGTACGCTCTTTTGCTTCCTCTATTATACAAAAGACAAGTTCCCGAGATTTAAAACCAGGACCCGTGGAGTACTTTGAAACGAACACGGTCTGTATGAGAAAAGCTATGACAATTAGGTATAAAAATAATATAACTTTAGAATCTTTTTAGAGCTACACCAAAGAAATTCCTGAGATTACAAATACAGGTTTTTACCTGCGCCTCGTGAACGTATATGATTCACCTGAACTGACCTTGGGCTTATGCTACATATTCAAAAAGAAAAAATCTAAGACGCAACGCGATCTCGGCCATAATTTTGTTCTAACGAATAATTTTTGTTATTATTATTTACTAAATTATTTCTATAATATTCTGCCATATTTGGAGAAAAATTAAATGTATTTTCACTATATTTGAGAATACGAGTAAGATTATACTGTATTTTTTTAAATGTATGTCTTCATATGCTTCTATTTGTGTGCGAAATGATGTTACGTTCTTCCAATAAATTTAATTCGACATTTAATTGGATGATGAATATCTAATTGTACGAGTATTTATAACAGTACAACCTTACAGTTAGTTACCGAATGAATGAAGGGTAAGTTTAAGTGGCAGAACGAGCAGCATAACTTTAATTTCTTTATATTAAAAGTTTTATGATAACGGACTTATGATTAAGAGTAATGAAAGCCAGCAGACACATTTTAAAAGACAAGTAATTAAATGTTAAGCCGTAATAAAATTTGGTTAGCCAAAAAAAAACAGCACTTAAATCATTTGTTTAGCATTCAAAGATTCTGTTTACAATTTGAAAAAAAAACATTCGGCAATTTTAGTTTCGCAAATAATCTTGATAATGTTCAGTAATTTAATCATAAATAGGCAGCTAACAATAATATTAGCTTGCCTAATAAACAGTCAATCCGCAAAATACTTAATTGATCAGCAAGATTCACGATTGGTTAGCAAAGAAAATATGTCTATAAACAGCTACGGCTAGCAGTAGTTGGTTAAATTTAGGTGTACTGTTAAACTTGTAAAAATATGTTACGATGTTACGGCTAAAAGCCGAAGTGCGGTTACACCTATTTCTATCCAGCTAAAACTAATAATAGTAATTTAATTATTTTTAGTTGCTTTAAAGTGCTTATCAAAATTTTATAAACATGAGTAACTCATTGCAGCTCATATAACTAATACGCTGTACTAAAAAATTTACAGGAGTCCAGAATGTCAAAAATGGCCGATTGATTTAATAATAGGTAATTGCTAGCCACGGATTGCTGACCAATTATCTATTTCTGCTGCTAGATTACATTTATCTGCTGACAAAAACATGAATATTATGCTAACCCTTTGTGATATAATAAACATCTTTCTGTAATATACAATTTGCTGTATTGATGGTATAAGAGCATCCATTAACCCGTATCGTCCAACGAGCGTCATAAAAGACGATTATTAGAAGTGCCAGAAAGATCTAAGTTTAATATAGATGATACTCAAACCGGCGATGAAAAGAGTCAAAGTTATGAGACGTCTTATACTGCAATCGCCAAAGCCAAGCGTGGGATAATTGCAAAACCTTCGTTCAGGGATGGGCACCCAAACCCAACAGTGGAATGTAAACAGTCTAATAAGAAGAGTGTCTCACAGAATACCAGCGTAAAATAGAATCTCAATGCTGCTGTGTTTCATATGTTGAGTGTAGAGAACCGGAGACCCACTCTATTTACTGGAAACGAGGCATTCCATCTTAGTCCTCACGGGTGACAACGCATCTGCATTTTGATTCGAAGTTGAAGATAGATGTAGATGTCTATGGGGCAACAGCAACCACTTACTATCAGTTGGACTGTGTGCTCGTTTAATACCCTTATCTTATAAAAAAAAAGAAATCATTATACAAAAGTTCCTATAACTTTAAACTATTGAAATGCCTGATTATCTGTTTAGTTTATTATTACCTGGTATAATGAATTAGGCGTATCCTCCTTCACGTCTACCACTAACTTAGTAAAGAGGTTGTCTTTATCACTAACACCTTCCACCTCCCTCCAGTCCTCTTTTAGACTATCTGCGGGCTTCCACCGCCACGTCAACCTCTCACCGGGCACCTCTACCGCACATTCAAAGGTAACTTCATCTCCGACTGGTGCTGTTACTGATTCTGGATGTTTTGTAATGCCCATTCCAATTTCTGTAACAAAAACAGATTTCATTATTATCTACAACTAATACATTTTTTTAACAAATAATACCAGCGCAAATTGCAGCTTAAAACTGCTGTGTTTCAAATGGTGAGTGTAGAGAACCGGAGATCATATTACTGCAAACGAGGCATTCCATTTTCGTTTCCATGATGACAATGAATCTGTATTTAGATTCTTAATTGAGAATGAATGTAGTGTCTATGTGCCACTTTTTTTTATAGGATAAGGGTGACAAACGAGCACACAGTCCACCTGATGGTAAATGGTTGCTGCGGCCCATAGACATCTACATCTATCCTCTATTACAAATCAAAATGTAGATGCGTTGTCACCCGTGAGGACTAAGATAGAATGCCTCATTTTCAGTAAAAAGGGCCTCCGGCCACCTGCACTCACCAAGCGAAACGCAGAGGTAAACCTCTACTTCACGCTGGTTTTCTGTGAGGTCGTGGTACCACCCCGGTTCGAGCCGGCCCATCCGTGTGACAGCAAAAGCTGCGCGTGGCTCTACCACTGTTAAAATTTGTCACTATTATTTTAATTCAAAGTGGCTGTGACACCACGAGACTTATCGGCATCTTAAAATTGAGTAGCGTATGAGTATTAGGTCGTTATTCTACAAAAAAAAACATTAACAAGACGAACGGGTATGTGGTCCACCTCATTGAAAGTATCCCATGGATACCTGCAACTAGGAATACAATGTTAAAATGAAGAGATGCCTGTTTTACTTGCCTAAAGTTTTGTATCGTCAATCCGCATTATCGAGGACGCTTCAGAGCGGAAAAATTCGGAACATATGAACAATAAAGCGGACCCTGGCATTAGCCGCATAGAAAAAGCTTAGACAACGCACAGTAGAAGAAGAAGAAGACGAAGTATGTATGTATGTATTTCTTCTATCTTTTGTAGGAATTCTTGCCTACTTAGGCAAGAATTCCTACAAAAGATACACAAGTTACTTAACTTTAAGAACACATAAACAAAAGAACCTTTAGGGCCAGTGCATCATTAATAGAACACATTATAGACACGTAGTATGTAGGTCAAGCTAATAATTTCCAATAAAAATTATTTCCAGACCGATATTCAATCACGGCAGCCACTCTTAACGGAAACTAGTCATCTATGCAGGACAGGGTTATAGTGCACGAGCGTGAGCGCAAGCACTGGTGCTTGCGTTCACACTCTATTCCATCACTCTCATAACCCGATGAGATGGTAATTCGATACGTCTGGAGAAAGATCAGACGCAGTACCAACGACTTTATGTGTTCCTAGCAAAGAGTGAAACTGTTACTGAGAGTTGTTGGACAGAAAAGACCGATTTTCCCGTACTCGAGATTCAAACCCCAGATGACATGATCAGCAGTCGCGCTTACAACTACTAGATCAACGGGGCAATCAGGTCAAACGCCTGGTTGCATATGTCATTGAGTCACTCACTTTACCTAGGGCGGGAAGCTTCCACTAGATGCAGTGTCGCCCTTGTAAGTCTTACAAGAAGTCGATGTATGCAGGTGGCTCAGGACCGTATTTTGTCATTTTTAGGGTTCCGTACCCAAAGTGTAACCAACGCGATCCTATTACTGTCCGTCCGTCCGTCCGTCAGTCTCTCTGCCAGCGGGCTGTATCTCATGATCCGTAATAGGTAGGCAGTTGAAATTTTTACAGAATGTATATGTGCCGCTATAACAACAAATATTAAACTTAAAAATTAAAGGGGGCTCCTCCCGTACTAGAAACGTGTTTTACGGTGCTACGAAACCCTTCATGCGCGAGTACGACTCCGATTTTAGTCCGATTTTATTTTAATGCGTAATCGATTGGGAAGGCCTATGGAGCAGTGGGCTGTGAGGGGTCGTAATGCAATAATAATGACCCACTTTACCAAACCTATACTTGTATCCCATATTAAAGTTTGCAGTAATATCAGATTACCTGCAAAAATACGTTTTTATAGACACGGGGACGATTACAACACAAGTAAAACCGACAATTTATATACTCTGACTGTGTTCGAAACTAGGATCTACGGGCCATATTCTTCGAACATCAGGCCACGTGAAAAATAAACTAATACAGACTAATGGTTTTAGTAAGCAACAACATAGAATAATTTAAACATTTAAAAATCATTTTGGTTTTCGGTCGGCGCACAAACGTTTTTTGTTTATTAAGCACGATGTACAGCAATTAAGGTTTACCTTTTTATTACAACATTACGCTACGGCATAATTTTCCGGCGCTTAAATCTGCCTAATTTACATCCTACTAAAGATCACAAAAATAAGATATAATTTGTAAGGGCTTTAAAAGTCACTTTATATAAAACGACAATATGAGGTACTGTCCATCCATTGCAGCTTATAAAAATCCTCTGTTGAACATAGACCTCCCGTATAGATTACCTGATATGGGGATGTTTGCCATAGTTGCCACGTTTGGCAAGTGGGTTGGCAATCGCAGCATTTTTTTACTTTTAGTCGTTATTAAGTAGGCGCTGCTGTCCATCTCCTGGTTTGTTTCCCTCTGTCGCCTCTTACGACACGGTATGTGTTTATTATTATTATATGATTAATAATATATATAATAATTATATACATAATATGTATTAATTAAAACGTTTTATTGTACTTTTAAAGTTGTAAAGCCGCTTTATGGCATAGTATAAATAGAGGTTTTTTTTTATATAGAATAAGTGTGACAAAGGAGCACAAAGTCTACATGGTGGTAGGTGGATGCTGTTGCCTACAGATACTGTGGATAAACATCTAACCTCAATTAAGATTCAAAATGCAGAATGTGTTGTCACCTCTGAGGACTAAGATGGAATGTCTCGTCTCCAGTAAAAAAAAGGTTTCCGGTTCTTTAACTCTTCATAAGAAACGCAGTAACATCAAGCCACTATTTCACGCTGATAGTATGTGAAAGCGTGGTCCTTCCCTAGATCGAGATGACCCTGTGTTTGTGTATAAATCGCGCTAACCAAGTTCCGAAGTTAAAGCAGTATATATAAAATAGCTCCGAACTACCACTCGGAGCGTTGGCCGCTCCCCGGGCAGAAAACCTTGCCCGGTGGGAGATCTCCCCTTTTTCCTTCCACCCGCCAAAACCCATTCGTTCTACAACCATTTTATAGCTTCAGCGTCGCTCTACCACGTCTTACGTCTAGTATAGTATATAGCTGCAGTATAAAACAACCTGCTTGACCAGGAACACCCTGGGCCTCACGCTCGCACAGCATACCATTATCAAATAGCAGCATAACATAATGATACCGTGTTTTATTAGGGGAGTGACTAGAACCGGAGAACCTTTACACTTGTAACGAAGCATTCCAGCTTAGTGCTCAGGAGAAAAACCCAACCTCATATTGATTTATAATCGAGGATAAATATGGGTGTCAGTGGACTACAGCTACTTTCAACATCAGGTAGACCGTCTGTTTGTTTGTTACCCTTTTAAACATGACAATAATATAAAAGGTTTTCGTCTTTAGCCTTGGTCACAGTACCTGCCTACTAGTCCTGAATTCTTGTTGAAACTAATGTAGGTACAAAAACATAACATCGTTATCAACAATAGTGTAGATACCATAGAATTCCGATACGATAACTAACAGCTCCAGCTAAGGTTCTTGCGACACCCTGGAGACGAAATAGGTAATAGGTTCTCATAAGTCACTTTAAGCATCAGAAAAAAACTAAAAGTACTTATTATGTAAATTTAAATTTACATAATAAGTAGTATATATAACATAATAATTTACATAACACTAGTACAACATTAAAACGTTGTACTAGTGTATTATTAACACTAATCGATAAATAAAAAAGCTATCTTTACTTATATACGGAAAGCCGAAAGCTTTTTCATAATTAGGACTGCCGGTTGCCGGGCTTTATTATCCGGCTTATACGGTCGTGTGCAGCCAAAAACTTACAAGTCCAGCTGGTTCGACTATTGTTAGACTTTTAGCTTATGAAATTGCAGAAGCCAAATAATGAAATTGTCAGACATCATTTTAACTAGCACACATCATTTCAACTGAAACGAACGAGGAGATGAAGAACGCTTCGTCGCTGCTAAGCAGGCGGACAGACGCAAATAAGTAAAATACTATTTAAAATACTAAGATGTTTTTTTAATACGTCTTTGTTAAAATATAAGTTTTTTTTTTTTCTAAAATTGTTAGATTGGATTTTAATGAAAAACATCTGGCCGAATATAATGCCCAGTAATGGTTTTTTTATCTTTTGGCCAACCCTATCCATAATATAGTCTGATATTGATGCAATCGTAAACGCATATAAAAACAATTCGCGATGTCCTTGATACATTGTTCCTCGCACATTCTCATCTCGAGTGACGCATACTATATCAAGTTATTAAAGTCAATTCATAGGGTTGGTTCGTCAACTTAAGTCATAAGTATTTACATTAAGGTTGGGTTTCGTATGTACATTCATATTTTTTTACAAATGAATTATTGATTTATTTCTCACGAGGCAATGGCCACACGCTCAGGAATTTAAAATAACATCTTCATCTCGTCGTCGATTCAATTCTCTGAATCACGCTTTTTTAACTTTTTTTGGAAATTATAATCACAGGTCCCTTGCAGGCATGAGTAATGCAATTTACGCACAATTCAAAAATAAAACAATCCGTGAAATGCAAATTATACTTGCATACGAGTATAGGTAGACGTATACGAGCAGGAGTACAGGATCCGCTGCTAGGCACAGGCTTTCTATCATTATTGGAACAGAAAAGAATCTGCTGTGCTGCGACACAATGCGTGTTGGTAGACTTCACATATCCCTGATATATATATTGATAATTTGTTTCGTAGGGAAGGGAGAGGGGGGGGGAGCAAAATCCTAGCAAAATCCCCATTATGAGGCAATTCATAAGTTACCTTTTTCAAATTTACATTATTAATTATACACGAACGAACGATGATAAAATAGTTAACATTAAA